AGGTACCTAGGACCGTTATGTCAGGTAGTTGAAGCTAATAGATCGTTGTTAGAAAACCGAAAACGGTAATGCATGGCAACGTAGGATAAAGTGTTTTGAAACAAAATACGTCAGCAGAAACAAACTAATAGGTAGAAGAGATATGGAATTTATTATTTCTAAGTCAATGAGCTGCTGTTTGAAGTTAATGATAGGGCTATTACATATATGAGAAAGAATGAAAATTGATGTTCAGTAAATAAGAAAGATCTAGAACTGCGAGAAGTGCTTGCTGAATTGTTGGCAAATAATATCAGGGTCGTCAACAATGCTTCCGTTAATTATGAAGAATTTAGTCGTGCCAAGAGAATTTGACTTCACACGATATTTATAAAGCCGAAGTACTGATAATTCTTGGCTTTTGCTACCTAGGGCTTTATTTTCTATATTCATAAAATACCTGCGTTTAGATGAAGCATTTCTGTCGATGAATTACGTATACTCTGAAGTGCATACAGGTCATTGTGCTCGTAGTAGCGGTGTTTTAATTTACTCAGCTTTCTTTTAAAAGTATTCTGGCTCCTATTAGCATTAAAAGCAACACGGCCAATAACTGGAGCAGTTCAGTCAAGGCAATATATCAGGTAGTGGTAGAGATTGGAAAGCGCAATGCCAACATTATTTGTGGTAAAATAAATTTCCCATGGTAAACATTGAATGAGAGTTTCGTGCCTTGAAGTAACCCTCGTGCTATTGATAGAAGAAACCAGACAAGTAGTGAATAGGTCTTTATTTCGATCTTCGCGCAGTCACAGTGGTGCGTGGGATTATCTGTTCAGACAAACAAAGGTTCTCAACATTCAATATAAGATAATAGGGAATATAACGCTTATAAAAAATAAGGAAGTGAATGAATACTTGAACAATACTGTTTTGGCATAAGCTTGGTTGTTTGGGATCAACCCTTAACCAACCAACCTGAGCTGTTACATTAGCTTCCCCCTAGAATCGACTTCCGTAGGAACGTCGGTTCGATTAACCTATGTATCGAAATCACCTTAGTTCTATTTCTCATCCCAAGGGAAAATTATCAACTCGCTCAGTATTTGACTTACAATCAGTGACGACTAACGCTGTGTGAGAATGTGGAATAAGAATATCTGAGGAAGTGCCGCGTTTCTCAGGCCGAACGGCATGCGTACAAACTCGAATAAGCCAAAGGGTGTAGTAATAGCTGTCTTGGGAATATCTTCATCAGCCACCGGGATATTGTGATATGCCCTGACTAAGTCAATTTTAGTGAATATGTTCATACCCTGTAAACCGTTGGTGAAATCTTGGATATGAGGTATTGGGTACCTATCTGGTACGGTTTGACGGTTTAGGGCTCTGTAATCCCCGCACGGTCGCCAGTCACCTTCATTCTTCTTTGGGACCATATGCAAAGGGGATGCCCATTGACTATCAGAGGGACGGATAATACCCAATTGTAGCATATAATCAAACTCGGCCCTAGCGATTTTGAGCTTATCTGGTGCTAGTCTCCTGGGTTTTGCAAACACCGGTGCACCTTCGGTTTTGATAGTGTGACTCACTTTTAGTTTGTCTTTAGAAGGCTGTGGGTTTGGTTTAGTTAAGTTTGGAAATTCCGCGAGTATATCTTGGAATTTCGCTGTTGTTACTGGGGAGTTTGAATCAAGTTAAGAGAGCTGATGTGACTTTCTTTGCCTTTTGTGTAATACGAAGTTTCTTTTAGTGTTAATCGCCGTTTCTTGGTGTCAACTAGAAATTCGTATCTCTCTAGAAAGTCCATCCCCAGTATTGCCAGATCTAAGTCGGCTACCGTGAAAACCCAAGGGAATTGCCTCCTGAACCCCAAATCTAGGGTTAAAGTTTTCTGCCCAAATGTCGCGATTTTAGTTTTATTTGCAGCTTGAAGTGTAATTGATGATGTTTCTCGACTAATCTCAGTTTTATTTTGAGGGATGATGCTAAGAGCAGCGCCAGTATCCACCAAGAAATTCAAGCCAGAGTTTCTGTCTCTAACATAAAACAAGCGACTGTTTAGGCGCCCCTCCTCAGTCGTCGCGACCTGGGGAGGGGTTACTCGTTTCCCGCTGTCTTAGAATTATGCTTAGGCCAGGCGCATGGTTGCATGCACTTGGTTGAGTTGACACCAAACTTCCAGTGGTACCAACAAAACTGCCCAGATTGTCTGGACATTTGTGACCTGTTTTGTGACTTGGATCGTGGTCGTTGTGGTGACCTGCTCCTGTTTCTATGACCCATTTGCATTCTGGTGACAGCCTCAGTGAGACTCTTAACACTCGCAATGAGTCCTTCTATTACGGGGTCTTTTGCTGATTCTACTTTTTGTGTGTGATTTATTGTGCCTGATCCAGTTGGAGGACCTCTTTCCATTATTCTGTCGGCTATACGCGCTAAATGAGATAATGAGGTTTCAGGATCTTGTGCATCCAAACAGTGTTGGACGTAGCATGGGAGAGCTTGTATCCATCCTTGTTTTAGGACTGCTTCACCCACTGTGTTATCACCCACTAAGACTTGGAGGTGACGTAAAAACTGTGACGGCGACCGATCACCTAGTGTTTCACCTTGAAAAAGTCTTTGGATTCTTTGACTATCTGATAATGATAAACGGTTCATTATCTCTCGTCTTAAGATGGTGTATGGTTGTGGTGATGGTGGATCTAAAATCAAGTCACGGACTTCTTTGGCGACTGAAGGAGGAAGGATAGAACACAAGTCTCTATAGCGAATCCCTTCAGATTTGATATTGTGTCTCGTGAAATAATGCTCTAGTTGAGCAAACCACAACTCAGGATCACTACGATCAAATTCTGGAAGTCGGGATTTCGTAGTCATAACAGTGTCTATCTCCACTGGTGACAAATCCTCCAGATTATGGGTTTCTATTGAGTCTGACATGAGGTATGTGACAAATATAGCAATAAAGTTAGCACAAAAAGTGGTTACTATAACACGAATAACTTAAGATAATACGGAATAAACTAGTTATATACTCAAATTAGTTTACGGATAATCAGGTCTACTTTTACGATTAAGTAAAAAAAATGTTAATAACAGAAATGAGGTTAAATTTGTGTTCAAAAAGGGCTCACCAATTTCGTGCCTTGAAGTAACCCTCGTGCTATTGATAGAAGAAACCAGACAAGTAGTGAATAGGTCTTTATTTCGATCTTCGCGCAGTCACAGTGGAGCGTGGGATTATCTGTTCAGACAAACAAAGGCTCTCAACATTCAATATAAGATAATAGGGAATATAACGCTTATAAAAAATAAGGAAGTGAATGAATACTTGAACAATACTGTTTTGGCATAAGCTTGGTTGTTTGGGATCAACCCTTAACCAACCAACCTGAGCTGTTACAAGAGTTTCAGTCCGTTTCCAGGTTTGTTGATCAAAATGTCTGCCCTGGTACATCATTGAAGCTTTAGAGTTCTTATCTTTGTTCCACTACAAACTGTTAAGTATTATTGAGGGTTTAAATTCAGATGCCTTGTTGATCCTTCCTTTCTCTTTTTCAGCATCACATTCAGTGCATAGCAATAGAGCTTCTTACGAGTGAAACAAACTTAATGTACGCGTTTTTCAAGACTAAAACTTACACCAAGTACCCCATAAATGTGCGTCATAACAACTAAAAACATCTAAAACACTTTTATGGCATAAATACTTATCAGGACCAGAATTCTAACACAATAATGCTAAGTTTGTACCTGATGTGTAACGTGAACGCGATGCCATTTTGGAAAAAGGATATAGAACTGCAATTGTAGTGCCATCCTAAAACATTACCTAGTCATCAACGTTCTGAAACATCATTGATTTCATTTATTTACAATCTTACTTAAGAAGCACACTGTATGCAGAACAATGTTGTAAGTTATAGATCATGCCCGTAAAAATGTCGTGTACCTGTCATGGGAGAAATACATAACATTATTTTACATGTAAGTGAATAACACTATCCCCATAGGAATCTGTTGAGAAGAGAGTTACACAAGGGCGAATTACGGGCACTTTTCCTTTGTTACTCTGAATAAGTCATCGACCTTAAGTTACAAAATCTTTTCTGTTTCCAATGGTTTACATGAAGATATGATGACTCACTTAAGGTATGACTGATGAGATACTTTTCCAGAATATGAGAATAAAGAACCAGTATAAGGCCAGTATAGGCCACTATAAGTGAGTTCTAACAAAATTATAGTAAATTAAATTGGTCGTGTTGGTTAACATAACTGCATAACAAAGTGGAGCGACGTCACAAAAAATGACTATATATAAAGAGTTAAGTCATACTTAAGAAAGACCAAAATAAAAGGTTACTCTAAGGCTGTTATCACCAAATAAATATGGTTTTTTGGGGCTATTCATGAGTCATTTCGAGACTTAGAAGTAGAACGGTTTAGCATATGCGTATGCGAGGCCGCACCTAGTGCATTAAATACAAGCAATGAGTCTTGTTTCCAGTATAAAATAGATATGCTTCAGACTTTTATTGTTCTATTGTCTGAGGTGGACTGAAGTGGAGGCCTATTCTTCTCAAGGTCATCAACTTCAAACAGATGGCGGATATAGCCTTCGATCATATAACTCAGGAGGTTAGGGGTACTGTATATCCGGGTAAGCTTCGACTCAAAGAAGATGAGTTTATGTATAAAAACGAAAAGACTGGAAAGGTGGATCACTTCTCCCGGTCAGATATAGAGTCAGCCCAATGGATAGTCCGTGCTACTGGTTTAGGATTAAGCATAAAGTTAAAAAATAACTCTTTGCATCGGTATGATGGCTTTGGTGAAATCGAAGCGGAAAAGGTCGGGAGCTTTTTCAAGAAATATTTCGACGTTGAAATTGTAAAGCGTGAACTGTGCTACAAAGGCTACAATTGGGGAGACGTGGATTTCGATGGTAATTCAAACTTGCATTATCTACTGATTAAGGCGATGTTCTCGAGTTTTCAGTTAAAAACGCCATGGCTTTTGAGGTTCCTCTAAGCAATGTTGCAAATGCTGTTTTGAACAAAAACGAGATTATTTTCGAATTTCACCTAAATGATGAAGCTGAAGTTTGCTTATCTGAAATGCGTCTGTACACTCCGGGAACTGAAGCTGATAGGGAAGGCAAAGCCCCTTCTATATATTCCAAGGTTACTCAAAAGGCAGATATTATTCAGGTAAGCTAATTATTTTCTTCATCACGACAATTAAGGTTACGGGAGATTTCTTGGTCGAATTCAAACAGTTGCAGTGTCTTCAACCTCGTGGCCGTTATGATGTTAAATTATATCCAAGTTTTATCCATTTGCATGGCAAGTCTTACGACTTTAAAGTCCCAAAGAATACTATTACTCGGTTGATGGTGCTTCCTCATCCCGATAATCGGCAGATATTCTTTGCAGTTCAACTTGATCCACCGATCAAACATGGTCAAACCAGATATCATTTTGTGATTTCCCTTTTCGACAAGGATTCGCACATAAACTTGGAAATGGCTGCATCAGAAGACTGGCTTCAGGAGCAGTTCAATGGAAAATTAACTCGAAATATTTCAGGACCTGAATATGAAGTTGTAGCTCGCGTGTTCAAGGTGAGTTTGCCTCGATGTTCTCAATTTCTGGAAATCTCTTTCACCGTCATCGGAAAGTCCCGTGGCATTATTAGGTTCTGCTTGAAAATATTCCTAAACTAACAGTTCTTGAATATGATTACTGGTTTTCCTAGGTATCTGGAGTACATGCTTATGAATTGAAACACTTAGGTAGCGAGAATTTATATGAGGATTTGAAATTGATATCAATTTGCGTAAAATCAACCCAAGTTCCTTCGTACTGAATTCTTTGCTGAGAAAAGCCTTTATACACGTGGATTAGCCGAATATGTCCTTATGACACAGATGACGAACTACCTCAACTTCTATTGCTACTCATGAGGAATGGCTATCCACCCAAATCCGTTGACACAGATTGGATCCTGGAAAAGCACAGATTGTTCAAGATAAAACTGCGAATGTCGAATTTAAAGGAAATACGGTTGCCAAAATCCTAAGTAAACGGATTTCAAAACCCATGAATAAAGCCTATCCAGCTAGGCCTTGTGTTGTCTTTTCAAGCCGACCTATCATTTACGGATGTTTTAAAGCTAACCTCCGCTTCTAACCACATTGATGTGTATCTATGCTCTTGTGAGGCAGGTTACATTGGTCGCACAAAGCAATCACTTTCCAGATGTGACTTAAAAGGGGAGTCCAAAGCTGTCACTGACTCAGTACAGCAGCACCTAACTAACTCTGGACACGTTGCTTCACAAGAGCCGTCCTTTAGTGTAATCTATATAGTCAAAAGAATTGGATCTCAGGAAGTTTGAATCAAAAACGCATGCACTGTCAAGGCTTTGGCGATCCACCAATTCAAGCTCGACCTCTGTGTGCAAAAGCTACATGTCCTACCTCCCATCCTTCCTCGCCCTTAATTCCCTTCTCCATGATGTCATTCCTAGTACTTTAGATCAGTCTTAACCTGGCTCTGTTCAGTGAGACGACTGTGCCCTTGGATTGTTTGCTAGAGGATGTTGTGATTAATTAGTTTGATAACTCCTAAAGGGTCTGTACTAAACACCTCAGGGAAATCAAGGACATACAACCAACTTTCCATTTTTCTATTGCAACAGTGGGGTTAGAAAGGGTTGCCTAATCTCACCATTTTCCTTAACTGTTTCATCAATGAAATTCTTTATTTACCTGTGAAAAAAGTAAATAATGACAGTGGCTTACTGTGCGGTGGTACTAAGGCTATCCAGATCCAACTTGATCAGTTGACAACTAATTTCTGCAAGTAAATCATGTATCTCGTCCCTTTGAAGTTCAAGGTACCGCTCCAAGAATGCCAAGTGCTTGTGTATATGTTCAATAACTGTGGCCAACCGTTAGTAATAGTAAAATAGTTTGCATAAGTGCTAGTAATGGAATTTCAGATGAGACCACTCTATGTATTTTGTAAGCCAGAGCGATTAGTTCCAATCCGAGCCATCTTTGATACCTTCACAATACTACTTTAGTTGTAAAAGGTTGAGTGAGGACAGTTCTAATATGTGCTTGTGAAATCTAACTCCGAGTTGCAAATATGCAGCGGTTGTCAATATTTCCGAAGGATTGCTAACATTCAGTGACAATATCATGTTAATGACCTTAGGGTTTGACAGTGTATGTTCGCTAGTGTCAGTAGTTCAATCAATTTTAACATCTTGAAACATCAACTTTGGGAGTTTAGTAATAGTTTATGAATGTCATCTCAGCGGTTCACACATTATACATTATTCGTTGACGCTGAGATTGGTTGACAAAGGCAAAGTGGTAGTCGGTTTATGGTAGCGTCATGGTACGAGGCAGCTAAACAGGACTGGTGTCTGCCAGTCCATCACGACTTCTTAGTTGGGATCCTAGACACAATTTAACTCAGTAACCTGAGACGTTATCAGACACTACTCAGTGCAAAATCCACTTGGGATCCAGCTGTAATTTCCTTTTGGGTTCATAAAAATATGAGGAATTCCCCTAAATAAAAGAAGTCTTTCTTAGTTGTATTTTTAATTGAACTATACCTCTTAATAAATGGTAATTTGTTTCATACCATTGACATTGATTTTACTAGCATTCCCTTTATTTCTTCACGATATTATCACTATTTATGTGGCCCATACCTTTTTACTACCCTATTTATCAGGATTTTTACGCTGTAAATAAACAAATGAAAACAATGGCAATGATGTAGTAACTCAACTATCGGCTTTAAAATTATGTCTTTAGATTCTACTTTACTCAAATTTAGTAGGATGGATATTTTTCTTCATTAACCAGTCAGCATTTCTTAGTTTCTTAAGCGCTTGGATGTTTGTGGTTACTCTGGTTTGATTTTCCCCACTTTTCGCCCTGTAGTTTTACTGAATTGTCCCCCTGCTTTTCTGCTAACTTTTTGAACAGTTTACTGATTTCACCTAAAGTTCTATTATTATAGTCTTTGGAATCGACGCATTTCAGACTCAAAAGGAAGGAGCTATATGGTAATTAAGTCAAATGTAGAATGTGGTGCTATATAGAGAACCAGTGACTCAGTTTTAAACAGTTACAGTTAATAGTAAGTGGTTATATTATCGGTTAGCCCAATATTGTAGTGGGTCTCATATTAATTCAGACAACCATTTGTTAGCGTTAAAAATGTAAAACAATGATGTATAAAGTCAACATAGTTTCACGAAGTTTGGTGGAATGTTTGATACACGTCACATATAGCACACATATTTTTGAGTTGTAGCTTTTTATCTCAGCGTTTTACCTCATGTTTTTTTCTTTTAATTATCTCATTATACACAGGTTCTATTTGATCAGAAAGTTACAGTCCCAGGAAGCTTCTCTGCAAAAGGCGGTGGTTGTGCAGTTGCATGCAGTTACAAAGCGTCTGTTGGTTTGTTGTATCCATTAGAGAGAGGTTTTACATTCGTTCCTCGTCCTCCAATTTCTATACGTTTCGATGAAATAGTAGCTGTACAATTTTCCCGTGGGACGGGTGCTCAAAGGTCTTTTGATTTTGAGGTACGTTGACTATCATATTCAAATCCAGTTGTTTGGTCAGTTAAAAAAAACACAACAGATAGTCTGCTTCGATATTTGTTAGAAATTTATATATATATATATATATAATTATATATATATATATATATATGACAGAATTAAAATGTAGGAATTATTTTTTACTTGAAAAACACTTGGTCAACCTAATGCACAAACTTCTCAGGGCGGGTTGTTATCAATATTATTTCACGTACAACAACATGCACAAAACACGAGATGCCTTCCACAGGTATCCAAACATACATAGCTAATTCAGTTGTCATAATATCATTACACCACCATACTTTTCGACAGTCAATAATTTACTAACCTCAAAATAGTTCCCTTATTTGAATGCTAAAAGTAACCTGTCATTCGGTCAGTCAGTCAGCTACAACGTAGAAACAAGCACATATGTGCATCGGTCCACGTTGCCATACCTCAGTAGCACAACAAGATGAACACCAAATTGATAGAAGTAGTCACTTCAATAGTGGTAATGTATAAAAGAAAGATTGCATATAAGGATATAGTACGGGAAGAAAGAATTAGTTCGTAGAAAGAAAGATACGAAGCGATTTTAATCTCATACTTTGAAGGAAGACAAAGTGTATACACCTACTCCATTGTGATCGGTTCTAGGCCATGTCACCTAGTTTCCAACCATTGGTTGTGATAGTCACATGGACCCCAACCAAGTAGTCTGCATCTACCAACATGGCTCAGACTAGAAGTTATTGACTTCAAGCACTAATGCCACGTTTTGGTTTGGCTGCACCTAATTTTCTCCCAACCGTCCCCAACACTAATCTTCCTGGGTTACATTAGTGGGTATTATTGTCACAATATTGTGTGTCGGTCGAGATTCTATCGAGTCCATCATAAATCTCATAGGCCTAATTGTTCCTTAACTAGCAATTACCGTAGACCCTTAACGAATTCAATCTAAAGATATAAAAATGCTTTTATATTCTGCTGTGTTGACTTTCTTATCTATGATTACTAAACTTCGAGTATATCACTAAACCTAATCGAACGTTTTAGGAAAGAAAATGATTAGTTTGCGAAAATTATCCGTACAATCAACCAAGTAGTTTATCCAAAAGTTGGTTTTGATCCATTCTTCGAAAACGCATCTCATTAAAAGAATCGATTTAATCAAGATATTTCACTAGTGTTTAATTTTTATGTTTCTTAAAAAAATCAAAGGTCTTGATATACTTTTTCCATTTATAGGTGGAAACTCGTAATGGTTTAACGCATACATTCACTTCTATCGAAAGAGATGAATATCATCATTTGTACGATTTTGTAACTGCTAAAAAACTTCGTGTTAAAAATATCAGTTCAGAAAACAAAACTACTAATCCTGGTGATGACGTTTGGTCATCATCTGATGAATCGCATGATGCTTACATGGAGAAGGTAAAGACAGAAGCTCGAGAACGAACAACTGAAATGGATGATGAAGATGACGACGATGAAGATGATGAAGATTTCAAACCACCGGAATCTGATGGTTCTGAACTTGCTGAAGAATATGATAGTAATGTTCAAACAACAACAAGTGAAGATGAATCTGGAGACAACGATGATGATGATGATTCGGAGGAGAACAAAAGTAACACTAGTAGTAAGAATACTACTACACACAAGAAAAAAGATAAACGAGACAATGATAGTGATGGATATGAAGACAGCTTGTCAAGTGTAAGCAGTACTAGTGAACCTAAACCAAAACCAAAAAAATTGAAAGAAGAACCAAAGAAATCAACAACTAAACCCCGTAAAGATGAAACAAAACGACAAACAACAAAAAAACAAAAAAAACCTAAAGATCCTAATGCACCAACTCGTCCACTTTCTGCTTATTTCTTATGGTTTAATGAGAATAGAGAGAAAATTGCAAAAAGTTTAGATGGACAAAATTCTGTTGCTGAAGTAGCTAAAGCTGCTGGAGAGATTTGGCGAAATATGGATAGTACAGTAAAATCAGGTTATCAATCAAGAGTTGATGAATTAAAAAAGAAATATCAAGAAGATTTACGTATATATCAATCAAATTTAGCGTCTTCTAAAGAACCAGATTTATCACCAGATTCTAGTAGTTAAGTCCAGAAATAATTAATTAATTCTTGTGAAATAAAATATCAACTTATTATTGTTTTAATATACTATGTACACTATATATATATATATATATATATATATATATATATATATATTCACCATTTCTTATTATTTTGTTATTAGACTGAATTAATCAGTTTCCTTTATGTTTTATATAGAGATATCCCGGTACTGTCCATAAAAGAATTGACAATCATATGGTTATATTGGATACAAAGCCTGATACTGTTGTTACGGAAAAAAATGTTTTTTGTATACTCAGCATACAATAGGATAATACTATGACTTGAAACGTTATATCCAACTATAGAATTCACGATCAATAACTGAAAATTAACTAACAGACCAGAAAATCATCTTTCTAAATAGATGCTAGCAATTCACACAGAGTTTAGTCCACAGTTAAGTCAGTAGAACTAAATCATAGAAAGGAATCCACAACGCTTAATAGTATCACAACATTTAGAAAAAGTCGATGCCTTTAGTTTTCATTTAGTGCCCAGTCATATCTTACTTTCGCTGGTCACACATCAGGTAAAAATCGTACGTCTCCCAAAAACACCAAATAAGATCAGCATAGTAAAAACAAATTACCAAGATGAATAGCGAAGTAGTCGAAATAATATACCACCAATAATAGTGAGCAGGACTAAATAGTAAAGAATAGAGTTCAAAAACTAACAATAAAAACGTGTGCATGAAGGAATACTGGGACTTAATATTTAGAGGGACATAGAAGTAAATGCATCTACTGCACTGAACAATATCATACGACGTTTCCAACTGCCGACTGCGCCCAAAACAGCTGGTCTACATCTACTAACATGACTTCAATAGTTAATGAGTGCATGGATTGATGCTACGTCTCGGTTTGGCCATTCCCAGTTTCTTTTTACCCTACTCCTACCCCAGTTAATAACGCTCCTCAAGGTAGGATTTAGTTGAGTGTACGTAACACGCAGTGACTCACAACCTCACCAGTCGATCTACCATACGCTGGTAGACTTATAAAAAAAATAATAGAATTATCTCTTGTAAAAACTGAATAAACTCCTATTTTCGTGTTTATTCAAGTTCTTTTGGCCTATATCTTATTCCCATACCTTGCGATTGGTGGGTGAGTGAAATGGTACAGAGCTCGTTGTAGATGCATTCATTCTTTATCTACCTCTGGACAGTGTCGGTATCCGTCCCTACATACGTTTTCATTGTTACTTCTCAGACCGTGTTCTTCACTTGCTCACTTTGATTGATACTGCTACTATTGTTGTAACTCAGAGAATGTTAGGAAAGTGGTGACTTTTGGAACTACTTCCCGGATAATTGTTATCTAGATTTTTATTGTACAATTATTAAATAACTGTCATTTTATCTCCGCACTCCCCGTATTGTAAACTCCCGTTGGACTCATCACTTATTTCTATACATTTAACTATCCCTTAATTACTGTGAGTTAATTATTCATCTTTTGTTCCGTTCTCCGCCAGTTATGTATAAACTACAACTTCCCATTTGATTTGTATGGTGCTCTGATTATTCATGAGTGCTTAGGTTAATGACTGATTGACTTAACAAGGATAGGAGCTTGTCTGTTGCTATGTTCTTTTGTGGACTGGATACTTGGACCGGGACGAGTTAAATGATTTCGGCCACAGCCCAAGGTTAATCACTCAATCAAGGCGTCTTTCGCCATCCAGATTCAGAACAATAAATGGTATCTATAAGTCATTTAAGAAAACTAAAGAATTCAGTTGATTATCTCGACTCCATTTCTATTCACCTTGTTAGTTTCTTCTCGCTGTAGTGATATGGTAAGCTAACTTGAGCTGGCGCATATTTATGCCAGACTCTATGTTGAATATGAATAACTGTAATCGTTAGGAATATAAATCTAGGTAATGGATATTTTATTGATGGGTAAAAATCTGTAGATAACTAAATATTTCCACATAAATCAACTTTACGAAAAAATTCATTGTCGAAGTAATTTCTATTTAGAGGGTTTGTCAATCTAGCTTCGAAATAACATTTTTTTAAAGCTTTTGTGTAGAACTAAGTATTTAAAAAGAATTTCGGTTTCTATATAGTTGATACGGTCGATGGTAGGGTAGATATACGGAATCTTAATTATATGCCAAGCTTGATCAATGGTTGAAAGCTATAGATGAGATGGATCAAAATTGATCTCAGTGGTGTACAATTTATAACTTTCTAATCAAGAGATGATAACATAAACGAGCAACATATTATTCATTAATCAACAGCAGTACAATCAGTGGTTTGTACAGTTTATATTTTCTGTGGAAAAAACAAAACAAACTAAAACGTTAATTTTTACGATTAAATCGTCGTGTAGATTAACTTTCACATTTCAAAAGATTATGTATAACACTTAAGTATCAATATTTCAAACTTGGCAAAAGTTACCCACTATTCAAAGGAACTGTTTGCGGGCATAGACTGGATTAAAGCATGCTGAATGCACGATTGCTTTGGTGCACGCTGACTGGCTAATTTTTATCCAATCAGCACTAGTCGATACTTGAAGAATACTCTAGAATCTTCTCATGTAAAAACTATAAATATACTAACGTTTTCCCTATTGTGCTTGCTTGCTTCTAATTTCCATCTAACCTTGTTATATGGAATATAATCTTCCTGTTCAACCGTGTTCTGATTTGGGGACTTATCGAGTGAATCGGTGTCCAAAAATACTAAGCAATAGGAATAGCTGGGTTATAACCGTAAGAGAGAAATATAACAGGAACTAAATAATTCCATCCTGAATTTCTGATTACTCAATAAAAAAAGTCTTGATATGTTTAGCTTATCTTTGAAAATACATTTTTATTATTGCACATGTAGTCAAATATTAATTCAACTGACTGAAAGATACTTCAAGAATAAATCAGTCAGATAACTAAATAATATTGAAAATAGAAGAAAAATAACACAGTCATGTTTATGGTAAAATAACCATTGAATACTAACATATTCATTCAAATAAATAACATGTATCAAAATTAAAACAACAGATGACGTAACATCTTCCCTTTCACCCCCCCCTAGTCATATACACAAAGTCAACAAAAATCAGATTGGTCATTGAAACCAAAAGAAAAAACGCGGGAAATATTCAACACACTGTACAAATTAAGACCACACATTGTGAATAATAAATTGTCATATATAAAGAAGAACATATTACAAACAATATTTTTCATATATTGAACAGGCAACTGAAATAAGATGGATTGTGAAGAGAATTAATTGACCGATTGATAATGATGTTAAATAGGCTAAATTGACTTATAACGTATACAACATAATAAGTAATCTTGAAAGAAGATTAAAATAAAAACAAACATATAGGTCACTCTATACAATGGATCTATAATATGAGTTATTTAGGGAGTAAGTTATAACAGAATATATGAAATCATTTTGATCACAGTTAATATAGACTATTATTTGTTAAACTAATGATAAGTTTAATTGTATATAACAATACAATCCAAGAAATCAGATCAAGACGATTCGATTGCAAATAGACCCTGAGAGTTATTCATGAACACGTAAGTAATACATTTCATATCATTTAGTTCTTAAGTTATCTATACGGTTTATACATGTCACAATGTAGTCAAAGGAAGTTCTCTCCATAATAGTTAGAATATTAGTAAGTAATATATTATAATAAATACTAGACAAAGTCAAATCAGGGAATGACAGTGAAGAGAGCAAGCAGAATAAACAGATAATGACACTGTATCTGGAGAACTACGAAAGCCATCATCCAGAAGATACAGGTGTTTATTAACAGTTGTCTACGCAAAATACTTTAGATCCGTTGGCCGGACACTATTAGCAACAACCAACTGTGAGAAAAAACAAACCAGATCCCAACGGAGGAAGAAATCAGGAAGAAGCGCTGGAAGTGGATAGGACACACATTGAGGAAAGCACCCAACTGCATCACAAGACAAGCCCTCATATTGAATCCTCAAGGTCAAAGGAAAAGAGGAGATCAGAGGACACATTAGGGCGAGAAATGGGGATAGACATGAGAAAAGTGAACAAGAATTGGATGGGACTGGTAAAGAAGGCCCAGGACAGAGTGGGTTGGAGAATGCTGGTCGGCGGCATATGCTCCATTAGGAGTAACAGGCGTAAGTAAGTAACTGGAGAATTAATCTATACACTCAACAGCAAAATTGTGAACAGATTTTAAATATTCATCTAATTAATATAAATTTACATAATAAGACTGTATCACTAAACACATGTACACTGGATGAATTTCATATTTTCTTGACATAAACAAGAAGTAGAATCTTTAAGAAAAACAATTTTTCTAAGCAAATATTCTTTTCGTTAGTAAAGAATACATTTTATCTAAACAGATGATTTATGCAAACGACATATTCGTCCACATTTTAATGGGCATAAATCTTTTTCATAAATAGCTTCCCAATGTGCATGATATGGTTGAAATAATTGACAAAGAAATGCTTCTAATACTGTATGTACGAATCTACGATTGAAACGTTCTTCCTGAAGCATATTAAATACACAGGATACACCACGACGAGTAGTTTCATTACCAAGAAATTGTGCAAATTCCTCTAGAAAAATTATAATATTAATGAATTAGAAATACAGTAGTAAAATGATTGAAAATGAAAATTACATTAAGTCACAAATCAACTGTAATTGAAATCTAACTAAATCAGTGGTATTATGCTTGAGATAAAGCTTAAATATCTTAAGTTAGATTATGCATGAAGTTGAGAATGTAAACACAACGGACTATTTAACATACTCAAGTTTTCAATGATTCTACGGATGATGCTAGTGGATTTTGAAATTTTATAGAACAATTCAAAATGTGAGATTTAACACATGATAATGTACATTAGAGAATGTTGGATATTTATACCTGAAGGTTGATAAACAGAAGCGGTTTTTAATCATAAATAAGGTTATCACGAACCTTGTTAAAGGTGATGTATGAGCAATCTCTACTTCTCTGTTGCATACACTGAGAAAGAATACTCTTTCTTCAAGTGCCTAAAAAGAAACTACGTTAGTAGTAGTGGTCTACGTGACATAGAAGCGTGACCGAAGTACTCAATCTATAGTGATTTAGAAAGAATCGGCAACAGATGGAAAAATAGATAACATAAAGGATATAAATGGGAAGAATATGAAAATAATTGAAGGTCGTCGTAGAATATTTGAAAACAAAAAATACTGCAACCAACTTTAAAAAAAAATAACATTACCAGGGTAATTAAAATAAAATCACATGTGAATCAAGAATGGGACAATAAGAAGATAAACGTAAAGTGAATCACAGTGGGAAAGGTAAGGGTTTACAACATCTGGTTAGTGATTCAATAGTGAACCAAAGCAAACACAGTGGTTGAAAATACCTCTTTTGGAAACTGAAGTTAGATCTTTTGGACTTGAATTCAATGGCTTACATTACGTAAGATAAGTCGTAATCTCGCTTCTCTAGGTAGCCTGTTCAGGACTCGATACAAAGTTGAGAAAGCTTCACCCATTTAACGTGATATTTGTTATCTATCAAATGAGAAAGGTTGGTTTTGTTAATAGATTTTGTAAATCCTTTACTTAAACCATACTAGTAAATGTTATAGAGCACTCAAGGTTGAAACCTGAGTAGGGCTACGTAAACCACTACACAGAAGCAGGTGGCTTAGTATACACACCTGTAAAATCTCATCATTAATATTCTATCCTTCATTTGTTGTCTAGGTACAGGTTTCATTGAGAGGGTTGCTGCCATGCTTTGATTTTGATTATTATAACTGTAGAGCCTGATAATAAAGTTATATAAAAAAAACGTTCAGTTGTGGGGTTAACACAGCACACAGTGTATCGGTGTCAGAATTCGAACACCGCACCTCACAGCAACAATCATCATTGAACACTTGTCATTAATAGTTAGCAATACCTATCTACACATTTATATAGATTGGGTAAATATGCGCTGTAATTTTAGCCTTTGCATCAGAATTACAACAAATATCGACGTTGATTTATAGTCTCCATCTTGAACTAAGAACAATTAAGCGGTCTAAAATTATTAATAACGCCCCAAAAATTAGAACGTTCAGATGCAGTCAGTTACGCAAGAGGGACATTTTAATGCGTAAGTTCGAAGGATGAACAAAGTAGAGAAATATTGGCCGTACATTTACCATTATTGTGAATACTCAGAACAATAAGAGAGCAGACATTTCACCTACCAGAAACACTCCCAGTAGTACAGTTCTACAAAGAACACGAGTACGTAATTTCATCTCTTTGTCACGTTCAGTTAAAGCTGTAGAATTTAATGATTTATTTTTGGGAGGCCAAAAATAATCACGTAAATAAGTAATCAGTTGAGTGATTTTTGGTGCACTTGTCCATTCACAAGCCTTTTTTAAAACAACAAAAATATTGAGTAGTGGAAAAGATAAGCAAATTTGTTTTCCTGTATAAATTGAAATAAAAATTATTCAGATCAATATTCTTAAAAGATGAATAATGGCTAACAGTGGAATCAAAGACTCCTGTTTCGTCCTATCTATAACTCGTTAACTGGTTGGGGACCGCGAGATGATAGCAACCGATGGTTAGAGACCTTGAATGACATGGCTTGAAATCGTTTGCAATGGCGCAGGTGCATCCACTCTCTGTGTCCTCCCAAATTATAATCTTCTGAATCCTTCATGTCCCTTTTTTCCTCTTTCCAAATTTATTTCTTATTTCTTGAGCCTTTATTTGTACAAAAATCAGTTCAGTGTTGAAAGTACACGACTTTTGATCACTGAGTCGTATATTTGAGACTCATTCACTACTCTACATTGATTAGAACACTTATTAGGGTAATGTTTAACAATAACTCATATAAAGTGAAACATAAAGCAAAATATTCGAATATGTACGCCCCCAAATGCCTTGGTACGACCGAAGGTGGGGAGAGACAGCTCTCCCTCTCGAAATGTTCTCACATGGCCACGCGTATATAACCACTGATAGGGAAGTCCTACTCACAGCTTTCTCGCGGCATTACTGTTATTTACGAAATTAACAGGACTAAAAGAGAAACTCAGGTGTTTTAACCCGGTTGGTGGACACGGAGAGTCAATTTAGGATAGTTGGAAAACCCTGATTCCAAACCAATGGTGCACATGGGCTACAGTATCCTACGGAAACAAATGGCATATGAACCAAATGTTGGTCACCGGCTACCATGGGACTGCATCTCCTCCTCATGATACTCCATTGCCTTGTGGATCAGACCTTCAGGTCGAAGGCTCCGGGTGTGGCCTCCTAAGAAAACCAATCGCTTCGTTTTGGGCAGCCGGGCAGTTTCATAGCCCACACACAAATCAAATGAGATTTGTGTGGCGCATATATATTTCATGCCTTTTTGTACCAATTTTTATGTGTTCAAACAATAAATAACTGAGCTTCAATAAAATTTTGTTGTTTTAAATCTTATACACTGGCTCAGTGGTCCAGTTGGTTAAGCGTTCGCGCGCGAGACCGAAGGCCCTGGGTTCGAATCCCGCTCGCGGGATCGTGGATGCGCACTGCTGAGGAGTCCCACAATAGGACGAAACGGCCGTCCAGTGCTTCCAGGTTTTCAATTGTGATGGTCTAACATCAATTGGTTCAAGATCTCAATCTAACTATAAAGAGCCTATCTGCTGCAGTGTGCATTGTTTATCAGTATACACACGTAATAACGATATCTCATAGCTGATTATTCACCAGCCTAAAATACAACAGCCATTGTGCATATGTAATATGATAAGATATCTAAGCAGTACGATAAAGATCAGCCCCGAAACCAGAGCACATGCGTATGTTACAACTTACTTTAGCAATGATCATTTTATTGACTCGAATACCAAAAAATGTTTGGAATATTTTGCGTAAAATAGCGAAATTTCCTTGTCTAGTAAATTGACTTTCTCTATGTAAATCAAATATTTCATCAACTAATAAGAATAAAATTCGAATTGGTGTTTCATCTCGAACATTCTACAAAAAGTATTAAAACAAATAACTAAACAATAAAATTTCAAGAAGTTCAGTGAATTCAAATATGTGGGATAAACATGAGTCAATGATACCGAAATGGATATTTTTATGAAAACGGAACAAAATTAGGATGACTTATAATCATACATAGAATACAAACTGCACAACATATTGTCACGATAAAAAAAATGCAGATTTCTAATCCTATTTTCACTTGATGAAGCATATGATATACATCACTATCTAAGTAGAACAGTCGACACTCAAATCTAATGTTTAGTCGAATGATCAAGAGATAGATATAGGTCAGAATATAGGAGTATATGAACACAGACAGTACGGAGCAGTCAAAAAATGAACTCAAAATGGAAAAAAACTGGAATCAGCTTTATGCATAAGTTATTCTATTATGTTATTATATATATATATATATATATATATATTATATATATATATATATATATAGGATATATATAGGATATATTAGCCAGTCATGGGTTTACTTCGATCAACACATAACATATGACAAATTGAAATGGTTGATAAATTATTTTCAGAAAAATTATTGAACTAGTTACCGTCATAATTCACTAATCGAATGTTATGTACTTGATCTAGGTTTACAAAACACAGCTATTCTAAATGATGGCTTATGTCGATGAGGGAGAAGGGAATATCAATCCTAAGACAGTCGCATTTCTTTTGAAATCTTATTGTCCACTTTTAGTCCATTTATTTTTTCAAACACAGTTCCTACGTAAGTTTTGTTAACTCATTGATTTAGTACAATTGAATTCTGGTTAGCAGTAAAATACAGGATATGTATTCTGTTCTATTTAGGACACATCAATTAAATCCCAGTGTTCACACATGGACGTGAACCCAATATGTTTCGCTTCAACGAAGACTCATAAAATACAGTTTTTAACATTAACAGTAAGAATGATGAAAGCTCCACGACCAAAATATCGAAATCAGAAAACAAAACTCCATCAAAATCATCCACCTGAGCTACAAATCTTCTCCACCATCTCACTAACGGTAGGAATACTAAGACTCTAATTACATATTTAACTGTTGACGTTTTTCTATCTGATAAAGTCATGTGCTATTTTCGAACTTGCAGTAATGTTGTGATTTTGTTGTTAATCATTCATTTAAAAGGTATAGATCAGGCATTAAAGTTATCGGTCGGAAATGTGATTTAAAACTATGACACTTCATTGTCAGACTTCCCCAAGTCGGTTGTTTATTCAATTATTATTTTTATGATAATAACGTAGTTCTAGACAAATTGCCTTTTAGTTTTTTGGTAGCTTATCATTTGAATTAGAATTCTTGTATAGATTCTACACGAATAACGGAATCTTACAACTAGGACAAATGGGGACACTTTAATTATGAATCAAACATTCACTCTATTTTATATAATTCTGCTCAATTTTTGATTGAGAAGAAAACATCCCATTCGATAATTAGTGTGAAGTACAGTTAATTAAATCACTTTCATTCACGTAACAATCAGGTCAAACACTTTGCGAATGAAATGAAACTGAATACTAGTTGAAAAGCCCATTCACATAACTGTAGAGCGGTAGACTAGAAATCTGATGACGACTTATAGTTCGAAACTTGCGGCGACATAACATATATGGAAAATTATAGAAAATTAGTATAAATAAACTCTATACTTACATAATCATATGAATCAGAACTCTTTGATGATTCTAATGACATATCCAATGATTCTTGTAATTCAAATTCACTGGATTTTTTCATCATTTCATCATTACGAGAAAGAATAGGTGAATTAGATGTTGGAAAATTTTTATTTGCGAATATCTTATTTAAACCATCAGCTAATGTATCTGGAACAGACATCATAGCATTGCTAACTGTACGAAAAGGTGTTAAAATTGCAGAGACCTATGACAAATAATGAAACAGAATTTATTTTCTTGTATCACAAGATAAAATGAGAAAATAATGTTCATCTGAACATTGAAGGAAGTATACATACATATAATTCAAATTTTTAATAATAATAACGGAATGTATGATTTCAAGATGCTATTATAACCATTATCATCGCTAGTCAGTTTGATTCTCTCTTAAGAAAATAACACAACTCAGTGATAACCTAGTAGAAGTTTGTGAATTAGATTTTTATATGTGATTACTAATAATAAAAACCGCCTGCCTAAACGGAAGGTGGAGCTAAGTTGTACCTGCAGATTAAGCAAACAAAACCGAAGTGTTTGAAGTGCTAAACTATTATTCCTGTTTCCAAAGTATTCATTCATTTCTGTTGGCGCTTATTATTTACCAGTATAATGAGTTTGTTTGTTTTAATACCGACCTTAGTTAAGCAACCATTGAAAACCATAAAGTTAGAAACGCAAATTACTGGGAGCCAATTTAATGGTCTAGAGGTTAAGCGCTAGCTGCGATATGAAGGTCCTAGGTTCGATCCCAGTCGGATTGCGGATTCAAACAGTAAGGAATTCCCTTGCTGGGAAAAGTCCAGTGCTTCCTAGTTTGCAATGGTTGTTCAAATAAGGTTACTCTAAGAAGTGAACTATGGGGTTAATGTGATGATTAAAAGTATTTGAATTATTGTACAAATTAGGAATTCCCGAAATAGGTCCTGGGTTCGAATCCCGCGTGGGTGCGGTATCGTGGATGCGCACTGCTGAGGAGTCCCATACTAGGACGAAACGGCCGTCCAGTGTTTCCAGGTTCTCCATGATGGTCTAGCTTCAATTGACTCATGATTTCAACCTATGAAATTTCTAAAAAAGATCTCCACAAAACCCATTCTGAAATTAGGAATTCCTGAAATACCGCAATCTATGTAGACAGAACTAGGTGAGTACTAACGAACGTATTGTATTTGGAATTCGAAATCAAGCATTTATCAAGTACGAGGGAATCATTGGTTCATACAAACACAATAGCTAAGTTTTAAGCCACTATCGTGGTATAATTTGTATAAACAGTTTGTAATCTATTAGTTTGGAAGTTTATAAAGTGGTGAGTTGCATAACTGGTAACACGGAAGATTTTGCTTCTAATCTTACTGTGTAAGACAAATTTATTTAGCGTGTTAACAACCAACCTAATATATTTACAGATATATATATATATATACCATGCAAAGTAATTACAATAAATTTTAAGAACTTACAATACGTGCTTCAACATGACCTCTTTCCCAGCTATCAGGCTGTAGAAATTCAACGCACAAAGGACGACTACCTGGATGATTATTCTGAAATTCACTGCTACATAATGTCTATTGTTAATAAATAAATAATAATAAAAATAACAGAAAATTAGCAATATAGTGTTATATTTTTTTAAACACTGCGTGGCATTTTAGCTTTAGTGTTCACCGTATCCTTACAAATAGCAGGGTTTCCTAATGTGAATCAGCTTAAGCATTATCGAAATGGATAAATCTAAAAAATAAAAATGAGTACTTTGAACGAAACTATCTAACCAGACTATTGCTACAGTCTGGTCATTCATTGCACAAACAGATGTCATGTATGTTTAACAATCGTCTACATCAGTGTGGGATGCTGGCTGGTGTAGTAAATTGGAAGAAAGTTTGAGGCGGTTAAATTAAAACGTAGCATCAGCCTATAAAGTTAGTGAATTTTGGTCTAATACAAGTTAGTAGCTGTAGGCTACCCGGTTGGGATTCGCACTAATAACTTCACTAATTGTTGGAGACTACAAATGAAATGGCTCAGAATCAGTCGGAATAGCGTGAATGCATTCACTTTTTTGTCATTTCTTAATTCTTGAGTTTCAAAATCATATTAATTTATGATCTCCTTTCGACTCATAGTGCCTGTGTCGAAATTTTACCACTACTGTTGATACTCTTACTAGTTCTATTACTCCGATATTTGTTTTGATAATTTATGTCTATATACAATGGGGCGACTTAAACCAAAGGATGTGTCAGGTTTTACACTGCTTATGACTAACACGAACTAGGCAAACAAGTAAATCGACTTAATATCCAACTGTGATATCAATAAAAGGTAATTATATACAAAAGTATTCATTTAATAAATTAAGGATTATCTAACTGTTACCACAACTCAATTGAAGAATAAATAATTGGAGTGGCTGGGGAGGTTGAAATGTAACGATGAAACAGATTTAGAAATTGGAAATAAATATCATAGGAGACATAAACAGTGGACGACTAACTGAATTGTATCTAAGGCAGTAAATTTGTCATTTAGGTATTTTCTGGAACGAACAATCGGACGATTCTAATAGGTATACGATTACCTCACACCACTAGATACTCAGCCAGTGACTAATCAATTAAATATCAATGCAACTCAAATCAAGGATATGTTATCCACCTAACTAGCACGTATATTATTGATCAACATGACAAATACAGTGAGTAGTGATAAGACGTATAGGTTGAACGCTATATACGATTCCTAAGCTAATCCGATAACCCGCAGTCTAGAACTACACAGCGACTTGAACTCCAGAGAGAAGACACAAGAATGAGAGAAAGCACTTTATTCCAAGGTTCATCTTTGTACAGAAAATCATGGGTATTTATAGATTTTGGCGTCTGTTAAATCAACATCATTTTACAGCCAATCCGATAACAGCACATTATGCTACCGACCAATAGTAGCACGCCACGTTGGAATTCTAGAACGTTCCATCACACTCTGATTGGCCAGGACTCTTCGGCTCCTTGTGGGCCTCTGGAGGCTCCGTTGAAGTTCTCCGGAAGCCGACCCAACACCTCCCCCGAATAAGATTTCTTTCTGGGATCCACTTGTAGTTTGATAACTGGATTGCGACGGCGTCCCATTATTCTTGTCGTCTTTCTTGTCCAAGACTTCTTTTCAGTGTTCCTGGGCGTTTGTGGCATTGGTGCGTCTAAGATTAATTCTAACGGGAAAGTCGGCCGGTTACTTCGAGTCTGCACTGTCCTTTTGTCCTTAAGGATTTGATTTGTATGACGTATACATGTCCCAAAAGCTCCTCGAACTTTGTACAGTACTCTTCCCAGTTTTTGCACCACTTCGCCCGGCTCCCATCGGTTCTTCCCGATGTAGGATTTAATGTAGACCTTGTCGCCAATACTGAAGTTCCGGATACTTGGGTCGCGACTACGCTCATCCACTGGTTTGGATGGCAACATGGCATCGAAGACTGTTCGAATACGCCTTCCAAACATGGCTTCCGCGGGAGATTTGCCGTCTTGAACATTTGGGTTTGGGGTGGATCTGTATGATGTCAGAAATTTTGTGATCACCTGCTCAGTCGTCCCTTCTCCTCCCCCTTTCAGTAATGCTCGTTTAAAAGTGTCCACAAAGCGCTCTGCTTGTCCGTTTGATTGTGGATGATAGGGTGGAGAACGAAGATGATTTATTCCGTTTGTTCTGCAGAAATGTTTAAACGATTCTGCGGCAAACTGAGAGCCGTTATCCGTCACTAAGGTCTCTGGCACTCCGAAACTGCTAAATAGGATAGACAACTTGCGGATCGTTTCTGACGTTGTACAATTTGGCATGATGTATACTTCCGGCCATTTAGTGAATGCATCTACGATAATTAGAAACATTTTCCCTTGGATTGGACCGGCAAAATCTGCGTGAAGTCTTACCCAGGGTCCCGCGGGCATAGGCCAACACTGAGGCTCGCATTTCGAAGGATTTTTAGCGGCTTGGATACATGATGAACAGTTACGGCATTTATTCTCGATATCTGTGTCCATTGACGGCCAATAAGCATAGCTACGAGCCAAAGATTTCATTTTACTGATTCCAGGATGGCCACTGTGAAACTGCTTGAGGACCTTGTGACGTAGTAACTTCGGGACAACAATGCGATCACCGAACATAATACAGGAGTCAACAACCATTAGAGAGTCCCGTCGACGAAAATATTGCAAGAGTTCTCCGTCGAGGCGATTGTTTGGCCATTTCGTCAAGAGATAGCTTTTAACTGAGCTCAGTATCTTATCACTTTCAGTTATCTTCTTGATAGTTTCAAAGGTTACTGGGAGTCCATTAACTGCGTCATCCAACACGCGATGAACTTCTTCCTCGGCTTTTATATTTGCTACAAGAGTCTCCTCCGGGGTTTTCGATTGGGAGCCTATTAATCTCGACAATGCGTCAGCTTGCCCGAAAGCGGTAGTAGACTGATACTTGATCTTGAAGTCGTAACCCAGAAGTGTGGTTGCCCATCGTTGGAGTCGGTTAGCTGTATGAACGGGAATTCCTTTCTTTGACCCAAACACTGCAAGTAGTGGCTTATGGTCTGTTATTAGGGTAAAATGTCGACCATATATCATCTTGTGGAACTTTTTCACTGCAAATATAATCGATAGGGCTTCTTTCTCGATTTGGCTATAGTTCCTTTCAGTCGTTGTCAAAGATCTGGCAGCGTGTGAGATAGCTTTTTCAGACCCATCAGGAAAAATATGAGAGATAACTGCGCCCACACCATAGTTAGAAGCATCTGAAGCGACGACTATCGGTAGAGAAGGATCATAATGTGTCAATAAGAGATCGGAAGTTAGGAGTTGCTTGATTTTCTCAAAAGATGCTTGGCAGTCTGCAGACCAATTCCATCTTGTGTTCCTTTGTAGTAGGTTGTTTAGTGGAGCACGTAGACGATGGAGATCGGGGAGAAAGGTACCGTAATGACTGACCAATCCCAAGAATGATCGTAGGGTTGTAACGTCCCTGGGTCTAGGCATTGTTTTCACTGCTTCAATGTTCTCTGGATCTGGTCGTCTTCCGTCTTTATCTATTATGAACCCAAGGTACCGTACTTGCTGCATATAGAAGTCACACTTTTCCGCTCGGAGGCGAAAACCATAATCAGCTATGCGTTCTAGTACCTGGTCCAGTTTCTTCTGCAGGTCCATTTTATCTACTGCCGTAATTATGATGTCGTCTAGGTAGGCTGCAGCTCCTGAAATACCTTGTAACATGGTATCCATAATTTGCTGAAAAATAGAGGGTGCTGTCTTTACCCCAAAAGGTAGTCGGTTATACCGGAACAGACCTTTGTGTGTGTTGATCGTTAAGAGATCTTTGCTTTCATCAGATACAGGGATTTGTAGGTATGCGTCTGATAAGTCCAATTTTGCAAAATATCTGCCACCGTTCAGCTTAGCGAAAAGATCTTCTGGTAAGGGTAACGGATACTGATGAGACTGTAGCGCTTCATTTAATCCCGTGGAGTAGTCTGCACATAAACGAACACTTCCATTCGACTTCTTGACCACCACTATTGGTGCAGCCCAATTCGAGAAGTTCACAGGCTCGATAACACCCATTTGCTGAAGTCGTTGTAATTCTTGTTCAACTATTGGAAGAGCAGCATAGGGTACAGGTCTTTTAGGTCGAAAAACGGGAGCAGCTTCAGGTTTTAGAGTTAACAGTGCTTTAGCTTTCGTACATTCTCCCAATCCCTCTCTAAACACGTTTTGATGTCTTTGTAGCATGGCGTTTTTCTGATTCCATTCTGGGGTGTTGTCTGTACTTACTCGTCTGCAGATACTGTTGATAGAATGATCTGCTAGTTTAAGTGTTTCTATAAGGTCCAACCCCATTAAGTCTAGTGCTGGCTTCTTAGTAAGATACAATATTGCATTTGTTGTTACCGTACCTTTAGAAACAATGCATGGCACTTCTCCAACAATATTCAACTTCCCTCCAGATGCACTGTGTGCCAGCTGTGTTGTTGGGAAAACTGTGGGTCTCCCAATGTTCTTCCACGTTTCTGGGCTGATTAAAGTAATATCAGAAGCTGTGTCCAGCTGAAGGCGGGTACGGTGTTTATTAATATTCAAGGTCACATACTTTCTTTGGTGGCAACTTCGTGCTCTGTTATGTGATACCAATATCTTGTTGGTTGGAGCACTATATCTGTATTTCGTTGAGTAAGATTTCACGGAACGTTTTCTATAGTCTCTTCTCCTGCAGAAGTTTTCTTTATGCCCCTTCCGATGACATTTGCTGCAACGATGTTCTTTATGTGGGCAAAACCTCTTATAGTGCCAACCTCCACATGCCCAGCATGGAGATGATGGTTTGTCGCTGTTATTTTGGAAATTATGGGTACTGGAACCTTGAAAGACTTTTCTCTTGACTGCATTGACGTTACGGAAACAGTTACCGTTTTCTACCATTGAGGTATCATGCTTTAAGTTTACTAACCTTTGGCACTCAGTAGTCACTTCTTGCAGGGTCATGTTAGGGCAGTGTTCGAGTTTGCTTAGGATTCTGGTTCGGATATCGGCATCTTCGGGTGAACGCAGGCTGCAGATAAATACTAAGCATTTAAACTGATCTTCAGACATGGACGACAATTTAAATCTCTCACATTCTCGGTTCACAGTTCCTGCATGCTTCACCCAGTCATCTCCTGGTTCTTTCGTTAACTTTAAGCACTGGTAACGGATATTAAATAGAGATGATTGTTCTCCAAAGATTTGGGATAGGGTTTTGACTGTATCATCAAAACTAAAATCTCGTGGGTTCTTCGGAAGAATGAAGTTGCTATAGCGTTCATGTTCCATAGTCCCAAGTTTTCTAAGAAGTATTCTGACTTTTGAAGCATCATCCAGTTTGCAAAGATCAATATAAAACAAATCTTCATACTTCTTAAACCACGACTCGAAAGTTACACCTGCTACACCATCAAAATTAAATTCATGGATGGCGTTAATGACTGAATCAGTATGTGATACTTGAGATTCACTAGAAGCAGGGTTTTTCTCCGACAGGCAGAATTTCTGCATCAGGGTTTCCATGATTCTAATATGGGACTCTTCAAACCTCTTTTCTTGACGCACCATATAAGCTTCTAATTGCTCCAAGGAAATATTCATTGAAGTTTTCATCCCCGTCGCCACTGATAAGTCGTGTAAGGTTGAACGCTATATACGATTCCTAAGCTAATCCGATAACCCGCAGTCTAGAACTACACAGCGACTTGAACTCCAGAGAGAAGACACAAGAATGAGAGAAAGCACTTTATTCCAAGGTTCATCTTTGTACAGAAAATCATGGGTATTTATAGATTTTGGCGTCTGTTAAATCAACATCATTTTACAGCCAATCCGATAACAGCACATTATGCTACCGACCAATAGTAGCACGCCACGTTGGAATTCTAGAACGTTCCATCACACTCTGATTGGCCAGGACTCTTCGGCTCCTTGTGGGCCTCTGGAGGCTCCGTTGAAGTTCTCCGGAACCCGACCCAACAAGTAGAAAAATATAAATGACAAATCAGATATCTGCCTGACCATCTTTCAAATTGTCTGGAAACAACAACCAATCACCATTTACTTCTGGCTATCCAACACCGACATATTATTAGTAGACTCGGTACTTGGACGAATACTAAATAGCACGAAACATAGGTCTAGGGTATCCTGTTGAATACCCCTAACCTCCATTCTACCACAAATTTTCTTCATTATTATACAGTTTTTATTATCATGAACTTCATGTTTGTAGTTTTTCTTCACATCTGTCAATCATCCTTAGATTCTTTTCTTACCCCTTGATTAGTGCGTAACCTCATTTGATATTTAGTCTCGAATAAATTTATGACATATATGATCCATATAACTATATATAGATGTACAGCTTAAGTAAATGATTTCGTTGAAAACAAAAATTTTCTCTGAATTCTCTTTATTTTGATTGGCAAATATATCAAAAATGTATAAAACTATAAAGTACCACTATAACTATGTTTGGTTCTCTTGATGAAACGATGTTTTCCATTTTACAAAAGGATAAGAATTAGTTAATAATGTATGTGTACTACGTTACTAAATTGGAATTGAACTATTTCCATCTTTTACCTTAAATATTTGAGTGATCATGCATTATCGTAATACTGGATTTTATATTTGATTGTAGAACTGTAATTAATATATTTGATTTACTTTTCTAGTGAATTAGTTCAAAACACCCAACTCATAACTCTTAGCAGTTAAAATTTATTAGGATTACATAAAGCTAAACTTACATTCAAATAAACATTAAGTCCACGTCGACGTTGTGCTAAAAATTCAGGGCTCATGTTATTAAATGCAATTTTCGATGGTAATTTGAGTTCAGTGATACGACCACACTAAAAAAAATTGATAAAATGTTATGGTAAGAGTATAAGTTTTCCTTACATAATGTTTAACAATGATATAGAGAACAATGTTTAAATTATATTAATCCATTTAATGGGTGTACAGGTTCGTATTCTTAACTTTGAGTCATACTCGGAGTACATAAGATATAATGATACTATTAATCGGTGCCTTAAACAGAAGTAAACGGAACAAGTTTCTGAAAGTTAAAAAACTGAACCATTGCATTATCGCTCCATAAATCAACGATAAACAATTTAGTTTTTGTTATAACGCTCGGTCCCAGTGTCTGCTCTATAGGACTTCAATACAACTCAGATGAAGAACGCGTAATTAGCCTGACTAGGAAGTAAATATAATTCCACACCCAAAAACCGATAACAATCACAGTAATTATAAGGGTAACGGAATATATAACTAATCTAGTACCTGCCAGACTACTAGTCTGACTAAACAAACAATCAATGATTATCATCCTTTCCCACATATCAGTTTTGTAAATTTGGAAAGAAAAATCCCAAGTTTTAATAACAACCATCGACAAGTGGCAACTCAATGGCTAAATCATTCGAATTTCAACCATTGGGTTTCAGATCTAAACATGAACCATATACCTACCTCAATACACAATTCTCAGTCAGTCAGTCAGTAACAACGTAGAACTTCGTACGTATGTACATCAGTTCGAGATGCCACACCACATTAGCACAGAGATGCAGTCGTCGATTCAAATCCCGTAGTGGTAGAGGTAATAAGAGTATAAGTAGTAATCGGAAAGATTAGGGTTTGGAGATGTTATTTAAAGAGTATAATCCAGTGAAACAAATTTGGAAAGAGAAAAAGAAAGACATGAAGAATTCAGAAGATTATAATTTGGGAGGACACAGAGAGTGGATGCACCTGCGCCAATGCAAACGATTTCGAGTCATGTCATTCAAGGTCTCTAACCATCGGTTGCTATCATCTCCCGGTCCACAACCAGGTAGTCTACACCTACCAACATGGTTCAGTTCACTTGTCAGTGAGTCCATGAATTTCTGCCATCTTTTGGTTTGGCCGACCCTAGCTTTCTTCCAACCCACTCCTACATCATAAAACATCAGACGTCGGGGCAGTCGGTGGTTGGGCATACGTAAAACATGTCCCAGCCCTCTCAACTGATGAAGTTTCACTACTTCATCAATCGATTTGCCATCCTTACCTAGTACCCATTTCCTAACAACTGCGTTACCTACTCGATGGTCCCAGGATGTACGAGTAGTGTTTTGAAGACAGATATCTCGCCTACACCATAAATGACGTAAGTTGGCAAAAGCTAGTCGAGTCTTCTGTATCCGTGCTGAGATTTCGTCACACACCAGACCACAAGGGCTGATGAGACTCCCAAGATAATTGAAGAATACACGAAGTTAGTTATTATTCGTGAACTGTTAAATTAAAATCAAATATCTGCTCAACATTAAGTGGAACACTTAGAGTGCATAAACAATAAATGTTGTTTCGAGTGAATACTTAACTAACTTGATACATACTCCTGAATATCAAGAATTCGATTACTTAAGTAAAAACATGAAGATGATTAATGAAGATATATTTGACTTCAAAAATAAATTAAAAATTATATTTGAATAAAGTAATTCATAGTCAGATATGTATTAGATTAAACTGAGTAGTGTATAACATTAATTAATGTATAATTTATTGAATAAATATTAAAGAGAGCAAGAACAAAGATTGGTGCAAAATAATATGATGAATGATGGGAACCTAACGAAATAAAATGCATTGATATTATTCTTCACTAATCTTCATTCTTGCTCTCTTTAAGATAATAAAGGGAACTAGATGTATGAATAAATATTCATTGTTGTTTACCAAAAGATATATGGCTATGTTTACTAATTGAAAATGTGATTACATATTAATAGATATTAAGGAACACAAATCATTATTGAATGTATATCGTATTTGAATTAATTATGACTTTAGTCACTAATCACAAAAACAAACAATAGAACAATAATCAGAAGGGGTTTTGTGGATATTTTAGTAATTTCAATAGTTGAAATCATAAGTCAATTGAGGCTAGACCATCATGGTAAACCTGGAAACACTGGACGGCCGTTTCGACCTAGTATGGGACTCCTCAGCATTGCGCATCCATGATCCCACATTGCGGGATCCGAAACCAAGACTTACAAGTCTCGCGAGCGAGAGCTTAACCATTAGACCACTGAGCCGGCAGCCAATGGTGTTAACGTCTAAATTCAACCAATCCAGTGAAGTTCAACCAGGTCTGTTGTGAGATATCAGCTCACTGAAGACAATGGTGTACGGTGCCGCGAATTCGTGGATTGATTGAAGTTAGACATTAACACCGTTGGATACTGGCAGGCTCAGTGGTCTAGAGGTTAAGCGCTCGCGCACGAGACTGATAGATCCTGGTTTCGAATCTCGCGGGAGGCGGGGTCGTGGATGCGCACTGCTGAGGAGTCCCGTACCAGGACGAAACGACCGTCCAGTGTTTCCAGGTTCTCCATGATGGTCTAGCTTCAATTGACTCATGATTTCAATAAAACAATAAATTCATTAATTTCTTTATTTTTCTATTATAACTTACTCTATTTGTAAGAAACGAGTGCAGTTCAACAAAATGTCTGAAACGACGTAAAGTATTCCAACATTCTGACTGACCATTAGATAGTATAGTACGTGTAACTTTTATAGTATAAATTACATAAGAATCATGCATTATTTCTAGAGAAAAAAATGAATGCAAATACCTTTGTTAGTTTTATGTTTATTAAGTTAAATTGGTTTATAAATGCAAAATGTAATTTAATAAAAAATTTCGGTAAAAATATGCTTTATTCATGATGATTGTAGGGATATAGATGAATATTTATTCAGCTAATTCTTTGATTTTAAGAATAAAGAGCCTTTAATTTACCTTTAAGGTTTCATGAATCATGTCCGCTATTCTTTAGTTTTCCTATGTCTATTAGTTTTAAGTGTTATCATAACTTAATTCTTATTTAGCTCTTGATTAAATACAAGCTAATCTTCATTGCATCTTGAATTTTGCGCAAAGTTTCAACAATCGAAATCTTAAATATACATCTAAGTGTAATAACTGAAGGGTTCAAATTGTAAATAAAGAGCACTCGAGTGCTGTTAAAAACAGTTGTCACTTCCAGGTTGCATACATCATGGAAAGACGTTTCTTGAGTTAGATTAGTAGTGGTCTTAGCAACCTGGTAGCTGCACCACAATACACAAGGATAGACTCTTTAGGGCTGATCAAACGGGATTTTTTTGGGTTGTTTATGATGTGTTAACCATGAACCTGCAATTCTTACTGACTACAAAGAAAATCATTGGAGGAAGATGAGATGGACTAATTTTAGGGTTAACATTTTCTGACTCTATCCTTTCGTTGTGAAGAAGGATGATCGCTGCAGATGCTGGTTGTTTGAGGAAAACAACTTACTGCCGGTACAGTCAGTAGCACGATTGGACCTTAAGTTGCTGCTTTTGGCCTAACTGTTCTCTAACCAACTTGCCTGGCATGATAAGACTTAAATGAACATCTATTTTAGTCAATACAACTAAATTAAGTCATAGCGATATGGCATCGCGATCACCACATCCATGTAGCAGCTACAGTTAGTTATGGATGACTGTAGTATGAGGTAAATAATAATTATTATAACACGATTGAATCAACAGCTGCGTAAAAAGTCGCACGGTATAACACAAAAGCTGCTAATGAACAAACACTACGTATAACCGAGACAAAGACTACCATATACATGAAATTTTAGGCTTAAATAATCTAGTTTAGTCAAAAGAAACATATAAATTACCTGCCCGAGTTATGACAGCTGTGTAAGCATCATCAAAAACCCCACATCCAGTATTTGTTGTTGAAATGATCTTTTTTTCAAAGAAGGAAAACGAAATGTAGCAGAAAAGTTAGCAAGTTTTACAAGAATCATGTTAAATTTCTAAATAATGAAAATATATCAGAACTCATTAAAGTATATTTTTTACTGCCGAAAATCCCACCACCTTGTACATTACAATTGTTTTGTCCTGTTAATTTCGTAAATAACAGTAATGCCGCGAGAAAGCTGTGAGTAGTACTTCCCTGTCAGTGGCTGTATACGCGTGGCCATGTGAGAGCATTTCAAGAGGGAGAGCTGACTCTCCCCACCCTCGGCCGTACCAGGGCATTTGGGGGCTTCTAACATTGCTAACCAGTAAATTATTTAACCCGGTGAATACTTTTAAATGATACACGAAACGATACTGAAGAAAGATAAGATGATAACGAAGTATTTATCTATGTACTGGGTTGAAAATTACAATGTCACACGCAATGATTAAATTTTTTTACCCAAGCTATCTGTCTAACGACTATACAAACATTTAAAATATAATTTCATAAACAATTAAAACCACTTGATACGGACTAACGATGAGGTCGATTTGAAGCAGAGACAAAGTTTAAAACTTTTATTTCGACTAACGTGTATTGTGTTATTAAGTTAGTATACGAAACTTCAGAGTATTTATACTGGAAAGTGATTTATAAATGAAAAACTTTTTACGGCAACAGACTATACACATAAATCAACGAAATCACAGTCAACTTCATGACTGACATAGTGAAGTAAATCTGAGAAAGAATTAGTAATCGAATGAATGATAAATTCTGTAGTTTGAATTCAGCGAAATATGTCATTTTTCTATTTCAACCATGGAGAATATAATATGGTGAACAGATTGGTTAAAACTGCATTTATTTCTTTATTAAACATTATGCTCCGCAAACAAAACAACAATAATTCTACGTTTGACTAAATCACTCTAAATCGGTGAACGGAACGACGGATCAGCGACACAACGACAAGACAAGCCAAACTATTACAATGCGTTCTAGCTCTGCTAACTAGAGGGAGAAGTCCAGGTTTAGATAAAGGAAAGTATATTCCACAAGCAGCCAGAAGCACGAACAACAACAAGCACACCACAAGTATATATATATATATATTGTAGTGTCAGTCATTATTTTAAGCCCATATATCTTATATTCTAGTTTTCAGACATTCCGTTTTATTCATTCTACTTCAGTCATATTTTGACCTTGTCAATTATTCGCTTATTAGTCTTGACTGTTTTTATATATGAGCGTATATGTGTGTACAGTTCATATCCCATGACTCATCACATGTCTGTAGTTTATTTTGTCTGCCTATAAATATTAATTAACGCTTCACTAAAACGGAGTTGGCTTCCCAGCCATCTTCCCTGCGTGTCATTTTGCTTTGCTATGTTTCATTCGCTTCATATACAAAATATATGTATTTTCAAGTCAATTCTCGTTATTCGACTTATTTAATTCCGTTATTGGATAACGCGATCTAAGTCGACGATGATATACGAGAATAGGTAATAGCAAACATTCGTACATTCTGAATTGGAGTCAGATTAACGGGCCACTTCATTGGTAAGCCCGCCGACGACGAACGCAACGCAGCAAGCTACGTCGATGAAGGCACTTCTGCACTCTATACGTTCGACGAACATATTCAGCGAAGCCAGCGCAATCTCCAATCCGACGCAATCAGCAAAGCCTGTGCATCATGGTATGGACATGTTCAAGTCGTATTATCTTATCAATACTTTGTACTCATGTCAACCATTCTCATTGATCCATTCGTCGGTTTATTTAATTACGATTCAAATTATCATTATATGCTTATTATTACATTATTGCAAATATCATGACCGAATGTGGAATTATTAATCTTGTTCGTGCTGTCACTAAATTGACATTTTCGCAATCATATCACTCACCGAACAAATTATCATTTTATGAAAATTCCACTCCACTTTGTGAGAACTCATTGGGATATTTTTACTATTCAAAAACGTGAAACTTTCCTGCTTTAAGTGAGTTCGTTCCAATTTTTCATGTCATTTTGACCTAATATTACATTCATTCACTTAGTCGAGGTCAGCAATTTATGTTATCATAACATACATTTTTCATTTCGAAATCGCCTCCTATTATGTCTATGGATGCATCTAACTAGCTGATTAGTAACCATTACGTTAATTTTATCTATTCTTCCACGTGCATAACTACATGCTGCATCACTTATCACTCAAAAACGCTATTCGAGTACTGCAACTACTATTCTATTCCCATTGCACTGTATATCAGAACATAGAGTTTAGAGCTAGTCTCTCAAAGATACACTCTTGTTCGTTACATCCAAGTCAGTCTCATACGTCGCTATCGCTAATCATATGTATTGGTATTTCTGTCATGCCTTAGTACGGTTTTGTAACAAACGAGATCGACCGCATCTCCCTCAAACCACTCTAGGCTTCATGACTGACACTACATAGCCCCCACGTAGAAAATAGCACATTTAAAAAATGTCTGTTTTCGAAAATAACACTGAAGTGATATGAAGTTAACGCTAACAATAAATAGCCAAAAAAAATTGTACAACACTCGATAAAGCACAGTGTCACATGAGGGGTGAGTGTATTATGTGAAAATGTCATACTTATGTGAAAGAATACATGGATATGTAAAAGGCGCGGACAAAAATGGAAATGTCAGCATGAAAATATGAGCAAATGAATGAGCGTACGAATAATTAACATGTACTAATTCTATGACTGTCTGAACGATAAAATAACAAGTTTGTATGAGTGATTCAAAATATCGTGAAAATAGTAATAAATTGTTTGTGGGTATGACAATGAAATAAATCGTGAAAATAAGTAAAGTAGAATACGACAGAAATTGGTCTGTGATTCTGATAGAATAGTGAAATATGCGAAATATATGTTCTGTTGAGCCGCAGCAGAATAAATAGCATCGACTAGTGATGAGTGAATTCGAATTTAAATGCGTAGTTCCCGTTCGTAGGATGATAATAGTGAAGTCGTGAAATGATATCTGCATCGACGGGTGATATTCGTTGCTGTACTGCAATTGATAATAATCATAAAATTTGAAGTCAGTGAACGTTGTCGTCTGCGTTATGACAGATGCATTGAGTTATCGTTAAATATGTATTAGTAGAATGACCAGAGGAACAGAATAGTGACTGAGTAGACGAGGTACGTAGAGTCGAATTCCTTTTTGGTCATGAAGCCTAGAGTGGTTTGTGTGGTTTGAGGGAGATGCGGTCGATCTCGTTTGTTACAAAACCGTACTAAGGCATGACAGAAATACCAATACATATGATTAGCGATTGCGACGTATGAGACTGACTTGGATGTAACGAACAAGAGTGTATCTTTGAGAGACTAGCTCTAAACTCTATGTTCTGATATACAGTGCAATGGGAATAGAATAGTAGTTGCAGTACTCGAATAGCGTTTTTGAGTGATAAGTGATGCAGCATGTAGTTATGCACGTGGAAGAATAGATAAAATTAACGTAATGGTTACTAATCAGCTAGTTAGATGCATCCATAGACATAATAGGAGGCGATTTCGAAATGAAAAATGTATGTTGTGATAACATAAATTGCTGACCTCGACTAAGTGAATGAATGTAATATTAGGTCAAAATGACATGAAAAATTGGAACGAACTCACTTAAAGCAGGAAAGTTTCACGTTTTTGAATAGTAAAAATATCCCAATGAGTTCTCACAAAGTGGAGTGGAATTTTCATAAAATGATAATTTGTTCGGTGAGTGATATGATTGCGAAAATGTCAATTTAGTGACAGCACGAACAAGATTAATAATTCCACATTCGGTCATGATATTTGCAATAATGTAATAATAAGCATATAATGATAATTTGAATCGTAATTAAATAAACCGACGAATGGATCAATGAGAATGGTTGACATGAGTACAAAGTATTGATAAGATAATACGACTTGAACATGTCCATACCATGATGCACAGGCTTTGCTGATTGCGTCGGATTGGAGATTGCGCTGGCTTCGCTGAATATGTTCGTCGAACGTATAGAGTGCAGAAGTGCCTTCATCGACGTAGCTTGCTGCGTTGCGTTCGTCGTCGGCGGGCTTACCAATGAAGTGGCCCGTTAATCTGACTCCAATTCAGAATGTACGAATGTTTGCTATTACCTATTCTCGTATATCATCGTCGACTTAGATCGCGTTATCCAATAACGGAATTAAATAAGTCGAATAACGAGAATTGACTTGAAAATACATATATTTTGTATATGAAGCGAATGAAACATAGCAAAGCAAAATGACACGCAGGGAAGATGGCTGGGAAGCCAACTCCGTTTTAGTGAAGCGTTAATTAATATTTATGGGCAGACAAAATAAACTACAGACATGTGATGAGTCATGGGATATGAACCGTACACACATATACGCTCATATATAAAAACAGTCAAGACTAATAAGCGAATAATTGACAAGGTCAAAATATGACTGAAGTAGAATGAATAAAACGGAATGTCTGAAAACTAGAATATAAGATATATGGGCTTAAAATAATGACTGACACTACAATATATATATATATATATATATATATATATATATATATATATATATATATATATATATATATATATATAGCATAATATGTCCTTTGGAAACGTTACAAAATAGCATACTAAAAGAGGCAACCAACCAATGACATGTAGGATCCTTTCAAGTGAAAAATACAATCTGGAGGAAAAAATTGAGCGCTTATGGCGCGACGACGAGAAATTCAAATTTCAAAAATAAAATTACGAAAATAAAACGTTAAGCAAGTGATTTTCGGGGATCTAGTATCCCTAAGAAATAATTTTTAAAGATCATCTTTATTATTGATTGGCATCATAGAGGTGCAGCCACTGACAACCAAAAATCAATCAACAACTGTTAAGTTCTGAAGCTCAGTATCCGTTAGCACTAAGTAATTAATGAACACATGACAAGCGGAGTTAACCAATTTGAAAGTACCTTAGCAACTAACCGATGACACTGGGATAAAAATCGTGACTAAATTTGAAAATGTAAACACTGAACTACGATACAGTGGTTTAATAAGGTCGAATCCGTAACAAGATCTGACAGTTGTTAATTTGATCGTCTTCATAGAGTCATGAGTGCTCTCACTGTCGAGAAGTTTCAAACTGGGACAAGATTATTATCCAATGCCACCTAGTTCTTAATAGATCTACAAAATCGATGGGAGCACTTGACGAAAAGTTTGTAACCCATTTAGTTATACAAAATGTCATTGATACCATCCTGATCCTATGATTACGAAGTAATCAGATATTAGAAAAGCATATTAAATAAAAATTTGATTGATTATGAATAACAGAAAAGTCGAAATGTAATTAAACAAAACACATTCACGTACAGGAGGTTCCGATAATCTTGGCAGCCCTGATTGTTTCGTTTCTGAAGAAAAAAAGTCAGTAAATATTCGTCAAATGAATAATTCATACGGGTAAATTGTTTAGGGGAAAATATATAGTAATTTAACTGATAAGTAAAGCTATAATATTATTAGTATGTGAGATCGAGGAGGTTGTTGAATTTCGTTGTTTACATTACAAAGTGAGGAACTGAGAAACAAAACTATTAAAGTTTATATATCCCTCCAAAGAATAAAAGAAATACGGTAAAAACTCATTCATTAGAGAATAATGCTTTCACACTCTTTGAATACCAGTGATAAATCTTCGATTGTTAAAATGAAGTAAATGAATTCTGGTCGTTAAATTCTATGGAATAATACGATATAGCTGAGTGATGGTTGTTCACGAGACTGTATATGAAATCAAATACAAGACCACTAGTCTGAAAAATAAGTTTTTCTTTGAGTAAACGAGCATACTTAAACGCAAATTATTAACAGAAAAACAGACATAATTAAGTTCTATAGTTGATTAGAGAAACCGGCTATGTTGGTTCATAGCTCTTCAATCAACTAATTACTAATCATTATCTCAGATTGTTTGACTAAATAGAGTAGTTCGCACAATGAGAATAAACGTAAGCCAAGATACGATATAGTTGGTGAGACATGTATTGGGATTTGATGACAAAACTTTGTTTATCCAGAAGCTTTAATGAACATCTCTAATGAATCTATCTTGCGGAAAGTGTAGAATTCAATGGTGAGGGACAGATGTCCAAAATGTCCAGATTTGTTTACTACTATATTACAACTCAGTGTATTAATATTCACTGGATTCATAAATATTAAATTGGTAGAATCTGTGGTGTTAATACACAATTCAATAGATTCAACAATATAACTTGGTTGCTATATGTTCAGATAAGAAAAAGTCGTAAATCGGGATTTCAGCGGTGTTGCATTATTGGAGGTAAATAGTTCAAACATAAGAATTATTGAAGAGAATATAATACTATGAAACTAGTTAATACATTACAATATATAATGTAACCCCCAGTATATTTTATTTCTTAACCTAAAAAAAAAACATTTGTAAAAATCGACCAACCATTTAAATATTACAAAGAGTAGTACTTTAAATTGAATCTTTTCCAGTTGAGAGATTATGATATGAGGAATTTTCACCATGACATTATCAATTTATCAGTAGTGAATTAAACACCTAACGTTCATAAATATGATAAACATCAGACAGATTCTTGAATAAATAGTATAATTTTATCTCCTTTTTGTTTAATAGTTGAATTCATGAGTCGATTTAAGCCAAATTACCATTGAAAACCTGGAAGCACTGGACTGCCGTTTCGTCTTAGTACGGGACTCCTCAAAAGCGGGTCTACGATTCCGCACATGGGACTCGAACCCAGGACCTTTAGTTTCGAGCACAAATGTTTAACCTCTAGACTATTCAGCCGGCATCCAACGGAGTTAAGGCCAGACTTAAACCGATCTACGATATTGCGCGACAGGTCGCTATTGTCTTTAGTGAGTAACCGCCTCATGACAGACACGGTTGAACTCTACTAGAACTTCAGGAAATGCATCTTGAAGCCAGTCACTAGTGAGTACACGATAATTGTTATCAGAATGGGGGATTGTGCTAATTTAATAGTTTAATTCATGAGTCGATTTTTTGTCGTTGTTGTAAATGCTTATTTATGATTATTCCACTTATTGAGAAAAATGTAAAATATTACCTTTAGAACAGTCATTTTCTATACATTTCCAATCTGTACAATCTTCAACAGAATTCGCAGAACATGACATTTGAGATAAGGAAGAAGCATTGTGAATTACAGAATCGCTTGAAACAGTCATTTTGTCAGGTTGAGATAATGATTGAGATTGACTTTGAGGTAATGTATCATTTGAAATGGAAGGGACAGATATAAAATTAGACGATGAAGATTGTTCTAATGGTTCCTTGAGTAAATCTAACTCAGCCAAAAGATGAATATATTGACTACTACGTTTAAATGCACCAAAACAATCGGGACCTGAGAGAATGTTAACAATCTGTTAAATGTAAAACGTTTGGTTAGAAACCTTGATTGAAGCCAAATAAGGATAAAGTAATATAAAAGAAAACATGTTTCGCTTCATTAGGAACTCATTAGCTAGACGTGGGAGTTCTCAGCTATTAAGGTGTAGACGGTATATTTAGCGAGTTTAGTTAGGGTATATGGGTAGTGTTCTATGATCCTTGATCTGACAACGATTTGGATGGACGTATTAATATGTTATGATCATAAAACTGCCATTTAACTTCGTATATTGCCTAGGCTAACCCCGATTGTGTGACGGTGGTAATAAGAAGTCAAATACGGGTTGCGTTGGATGGATTTATTTCAAGAGACCGTTTATCCAAACAGACATTAAGAATGAAGAGCGGAGGTCAGTTTGCTGATTCTATTTGATAAAGCATGATTCAGTATTTATACCCAAACAAAAATAAACTAGATATGTAATGAATAGGGTATGCGATACACACACATACGCTCATGTAAAAACAGTCAAGGTTAATAAGCCAACAATTGAGGTCAAAATGTGATTCAAGAACAATTAACAAATTGGTCCGTCAGGAAGCTAGAATAACCCATGTGGGCTTGATATAGTACTAGATACTACGGTATCACTAGCCTTGATCACAAGAGGCCTAAGCTAAAATGCATAGGTATGAACGTGCTAACCAAGTGACGTTATGCTTGTAACATCAGATTGAGATACACTAAACTACTGAATCATTATTATAATCTTTTTTCTACTTAGATTCATTTGCTTAGCAATCCAATCTCCACGATCTTGCTTTGCAAAGTCAAATTTATGACCAGAGTCTAAGGCAAGTTATTGATTATTATAATAAATCGCACGAGTACTGAATGGCAGGATACCCAAAACCATATCATTTTCAACCATATTGTAACAAATGCAGCCACCATTTCAAATATTTTGGTTTGGCCAGAAAGAGAGTATCTGAAATCCGGATTTAAATTCCCCACCCTATAGTTGAAATCAGTATTTATTTTATGGAAACAAATTCTATGATTTTTGACAATGGACGGTTTATGTCTGTTAATAAGGGAATAAGACGAATGATGATCAATAGACGATGATGTGCAATGATACGGTGTAGCAGAGCGATAATTTCTAACGACATCGAACTATCGATGTAACGGTTAAAATGAACTAATGCTGAAAGGCAAGAGATAAATAGCAGGGAGGTAAGTTTTATCCACTAAACGTTTATTTACGAAGTAGGAAATACAAAAATAAATATGAATATATACACTTAATCAATGTACTACATCTTCTTTAAATGGCAATTATTATTAGTGGCTATTCAACCATCACACACTATAACATGAAGAATGAGTTAAAATCTTGATACACTTTGATTGTTACTTTAACAAAACTAGGTTATTGTTATTTGTTAACTAAACAGTCGGTCAGTCATATACAAAGTAGAAACTGGCATATAGGTACATTAGTTCGAGTTGTCAAACCTGATTAGCACAGTGAGATGGAATTGTCAGGGCAAGTCCCAAGTAGTAGAGGTAGTAACAGTATTTAAGGATCCAACTCAGATGAACAGGACCAATGGATTGGTTAAAGCCTCTATATCACTTTCCCACCACAGTGTTCGTTTTAGGAAGATAGTGTTGTCTGTTTTGATTGAGATTCGTTTTGACCCACGGATCTTGGTAACTGAGGAACGACTGAGTTCATTTTAATACGAACGTGTCCTATGACGGATTCCATAGAATAAAAACTGACGATAACCCTCAACAATAAACGAGGTTGAGAAGGAATATACAAAGAAGGCGAGAGTGTGGGAAAACGTAGTACTCAAGCACGTACATTAAAATAGTACAACTTCACATATATAGTTATAAAAACAGAAACTTTGAACACAGAAAATTAGCAAACGAAAAGTAGTGGTAATTAAGCGGAGGAGAGCGAAGATCATGAGAAGATTCGAGCTAGAAAGAAATATTGGCGGTTATTGTTATCAGTAATAGTCTAACGTTTATTAACGAAAATTGAATGACAATATGATTTTCTTAGGACATCTACAATGAAACTATGAATGTCCCACCACATAATTTAGAAAATCGGATCACTATTGTCTCTGGATCCTGTAGGTCTCTAGATGCACCTGTCATCAAAACAATTTGTTAGTACTTTTATTTTCTCCAATCTCTATGCAGAATGGTGACAGTCAAATGGAGTTATAATATCCGTGACCAGCATCAGAATTAATGCTTCAGAATGATAGATCTGTAAAGCGAAATTTCCATCTGTCGTATAACGTTGCTAAAGGTTTGCTGATTATTATTATTATTATTATTATTATTATTATTATTATTATTATTAATGGCTTTATTATATTTTGGTACAATTTAGAATTCTCAGCACAAGGTATTTCAACAAGTTTCTTTTACAAAAAAACAAAGACAAAAAAAGGAAAACAAAGGTTTAAAAAAATCTGAAAAACTGTACAACTTTCCGAATTTGAGACGTGTTAAGAATGCGGGTTATTGACTAGGTTAACTCTAACAACTTGTTCGCCTTAGCCTTCGTCACATATATTGAGTTGGATTGAATAAGTAACTATTTTGTAACGCATCTGAATAATCTACTTGGAAAGTAACTAAAGGCGAATGTTCGTGATCAGTCATGATAATGAGATGGATTTAAAGTCGGACGCATTTCGCAAATTTCATCAAATGCAGTGCATATACGAATTTGTAATTTTGTTAATTAAAATATGAACCGATAGAATAATCGTATTAAATTTCATAGTGTAAATTTATAGACTTCAGTAAACGAAGGTGGAGAAGTCTTCAATGTTAGCACATATCACTGCCTCCACTTGATGTATATGAAAAACACTGGACAGTAAAGATAAAATTAACCTAGTGATATCAATTGCGTAGATTGTATTTTTACTTAAATGTCATTGAAGGTAGTCCTATATTTTTACAGATCGCCTGTTTGATTCCAGATTTTATGCGAGAGACCACATTGAAAGATACCGTTCGACAAAACATCGAGGAGTCCTTAGTTAGCGCGGCCCCATACAGACTAGCTGCGAGCTAAAGTTGACGTATATTCCACAAGGGATTCGCAATTCGTATCACCTAGTGTCAGATATTGTTATCAATTAACAAGAAAAATTTAGAAGTTAGTCTTTATCAGACGACAAAAATATTCAAATTTTCGGTATTAATATTCTTATTACTTACATGTGCCTCAATTTCAGTGAATGCATTAGGATTTAATGAATTCGGTTCACCAGTAAGTGCCTTTAATGTACGTTGGATTAGTGGTTCAGCTGATAAAGGCATAAAGTGCAATAAATTACTGCATATTGTTATGCCAAATGCACGCAACTGTTCAATAGAATCATCAACAATCTCATCTTCTCCACTTTTTCTAGTATATTTTTCTTAACATATTCATTTATGACCATTGTGTTTCGCTGTCCACCTTCATCTAAAGATGTTGTTATTGAATCTGCTTTTTCAATTAGATCTTTCTGATTGTCACACAAACTGGATGCAACTTCAGTTTGTGTGCCTTCAAAATTAGGAGAATTTGAGACTGATAGAGATTCTTCATCGGTATTAATAATGTCAATTGGATTTGCAGGATTTAAGCATAAATCTTCAGTTATAATACTAGTTGACATATCAGAAGTAATAGTCTCCATTCGTGAAGCTTCAGCAAGAGCCAACACTGAAGGATCAATATTTTGATTAAGAGTTGCGTTGGGTATCAATTTACTGACGCCTTCACGGAAACTCTAAAAGAATAAAGAAGGATTATGTAATTTATGATACAACATGGTTTTTATCCAGAGAATGACTTGTTACATCCCTATTAGGTGTCTTATTATATTACTCTTTTTGTGAAAATCCGTACATTTTAATGTGTATTTTGAAATGATCCGATTATCTATTTATCGGAGTTAACAAGAACACTGTAAATATACATTTTTATATGCATACGATATAATCTTGTGGTTATATAACCGGTTAGATAAATGAACCTCTTGCACAAATAAATATTTATTCAAATTAAGTGACCTGTTATTTATTAAGGAGTAATAAAAGACATATTCATCTATACTAAATATACAATAGATTATGTTATATTGTAAAATTCACTGGAATTACAGACTACCTACTAGCTGTGTCAACAATTTTTTGTTCCAGTCTGTTTTTTTTCTCAATAGAACGGTCGGGTCGTTGAGTAAACTGTTTCATCCAATTAAGTATCATAATCTAGTGTCTAATGTTAGCAGTCTAAATAATTCAATTATTTTCCCGTTAAAACACATCTCTGTATGAAAGAGAATAAGTAATCAGTCGTTAATTATTCACCATAGTAGGCATCTTGGAGCAACTTTTTTCAAATTGTATTAAAATGCGACTGAATGACTAAGTACATGTTTCTGTATTTGGTATTTGACCACACTTTATGTGTAAACGTTTATGATATAACTACATCGAATAAACCGAAATATATGCAACGGAGTTTAAACCTGCAATAAAATGATTGAAAGAGGAATGCTTAACCACCTCTACCTACTATTGTTCATTAACTTGTATCAAAGTTAACATGATAAAACAATTTTATGATACGAAAATTAGTTTAGTTAATCAAAAGAAATCAACATAAATTTTCATGTCTAAGTGAAATCATTCTTTGTGAGGACATGGGGGTATGAATTTGTTTTGGTAACATACGTCAATAAACAACCTTTTTCAAATATAAAATGTCGCAAAAAATTTATCTATATCTATTTCTGAAGTGTATTTATTCAGCCAAGACAAACAGTCGTTTATAGGAAGTGCATAAAGAACATATTATGTTGTGAATTCATATACTTATCGATCTCTACTTTGTAATTCATTGTGTGTAAATTCCTTGTAATTGTGTCAGCAAATTGTTGTCTAGTTAAATTCCGTTCTCAAGAGTGTTAGTTGGACATTGTGAATATGTATGTCCTATCTATAACTGTGAATGGATAATCTAGTAACCAGGATTGTCAGCCCGTATTCTTGAATTATCGTATTATATATTGTTAAGTCTGTTTTATATTCTCTGTCTTATTCACTTCCCTTAGACTTTATTGCATATTGTTTTATACTACTTATTAATATTCAGTAAATAGTTGTATTCCTCGCAATCTCTGAGCTTATGTTGTAACGCAAGTTTGTTGTGTAATATTCTGAAATATTCACATATACTTATAACATTTATTGTATTTATTATCACAATTACGTTATCCCAACCATTGTAGCAGTTATTTACAATTTTGTGTATATTTCTAACCCTTGTTTAAACGCAACGGTTTTCATATTTTTCGCTCTTCGTTCGGTTTTTCCTTGTTGATAAAGTTACCAACTTAGGCACAACTAACAGCTGTCTTTTGCACTATCGTATGCTGTAATTACACTTTATGTTACTATTACAGGAAGCCGCTTTTATTTCAGACAATAGGATGCGGCGAACGCCGTAGACACTTCATACGTTGAGGTTTGTAACTAATTTTTGTATATTGTTCAATAAAGAATCGCTATTTTGGACAAATCGTTGCTTCGTGAACTTCGATTTTGCGCGTATCTCAATTGAGTGATTTGGACGCTTCGACTGACTTGATATATATATTTTTTTAAATTGAATAAAAAATGCACTAATAAGAGCTTGCTTACCACACAATTTAAATACAATCGAAGTAATGAATGTTTATTTATGGAAGCCAGAAAATCTGAAATTACAGAAAGAAGCAAACAACAAACAAATAGATAATAACAACAGAATAATAAATAACTCCAAGAAAAACACGAAATATATATATATATATATATGTCAGTGAAGCATATTGGTCACTGTTTACAACAGTGATGAATAGTCAGTTTTATTTCAAACTGCAAGCGTGTTAAGGACTTATCCATAGTATCAGAATTTAGAGTTTCAGTCAGTGAAGCTTAAGGTTTAAATTAACATAAAACTTGAACACTAACAAACATTAACATGTAATTTGAAGCACAGTTTCAACTGACAAGTGAAGCTTGAATCGTTAACGCTGGTTCCACGGGCTATCGAAATCAATCGAAGAATGTATAGCAAGTATATTAAACACGAAAGAGGAATTGATGTGAAGTTGGGTGACGTGAAATTGAGTATTGAAAATTACAGGCCCCAGAGCTTGAGTCATATTAATTTCACAAAGGCTAAAAATACAAGTTGGTTTTAAACTTTCGCCGCACTTTTGAGTTAAGATTTGATTAAAGAGATCTGGGTAGTTAAAGTGAACGAATACAATGCAGATCAATAGAATACAGCGATGTTGCCGACAGTGGGTTATTGAACTAATCATCCCGCTCACTAAAAATTATATTAAAGACAAGACTACCAGCTATAAGAATAGGTTCTCAATCTAAAGAACATACTTATTTACAAAATCTTATTACAGAAATAGTGATTAAATGACGCCAACGATTTTATACATCCTTCACTTTTCGATTAAATAAAAGATGGATAGTAGGCTTAATTCTCTGCCATCACACCATCAACAGACAGACCTAATTCATGGCCATAATTAAGTTTAGCACAGTCACAATACATTATTTCGTATGACACTGGATGGTAGTTTCGCAGTACTACTTTAATACGTTTGAACATAAAGTATGGAAAATACAGGGTTCCAACTTGGTGGATGAAAATTATAGGTTCTGCTAAAGACTGGAAATATGAACAGGTATATACACTAACCAAGAGTGTAAAACAATGATACAAATATACAGTTCTCTTGTTCGTAGTATCTCAAAATTGTCTATTTTCTGCATTTGCGCATTAACTTTCACCACTTAAAATGTCTTCCATTTTTAATGCGGTTAAAAACTATCTTTTACTATTACACGTTGGCTACTCGTTGACAACTTTAAGTTTTTACTTAGACAAGTTACGAAACTACTGGTTCACATATAGAAGTTTCATAAATCCACAATATTATATATATAGTATTATATATAGTATATGCTTTTATTGGTGATAAATATCCACTTAAAACAAAATACCAGTGATTTATAGGGTGTTGAATAATTAAATAAAAGCGTTTAGAAATCTACAGTTTTTTAACTATAACTGTAATAAAAAATATAGACAGACAGACATCATCAACATGGAGCCTGGTACAGATGTGCTTTGTCTCAAGTTAGCATACCAGATTAACAGGACATGAAAATAACAAAAGTGATCGAAATAATATAGTAGCGATGAAAAATTAAACTTTTGGAAAATAGGCATCAATACTAAGGTTGGATTTGATAGCTTTAAATGAATCGAGAGTTAGGTGGAGAGTTAATAATAAATATATTTTTTGCTATATCCCAATGAGTAGAAAAATTGTATCCCGGTTATTTATTTATACTGAAGAAGTGGCTTACATAAAGTCACGAAAAGTCAGAAATGCAATTCTCCTACTCATTGAAATATAACAAAAAATATGTTTATTGTTTTGTAGTATAGTTTGAAAAGGTAGAATGGAAAAGCATGTACGATAGGGTACTGGAATTTAAGATCGAGAGAAAGATAAAGAATGAAAGCATATGAGCTGTTGCGAACAATTCTACGCCACGTTACGTAGTCTTCAACCGCTGACTGTAGTTGTCACGTAGACCTTAACTAAGTAGTCTTTATCTAGCGACATAGCCCAGACCAACAGATAATGACTTTACGAACTGAAACCACGTCACAGTATAGCCACCTCTAGCTTTCTTTCAACCTACTTCTTGCACTAGCAACCATTGGTCGTCGAGGTAAGTAGAGGTTAGGTATGCGTAATACATGTCCCGACTACCTCAATCAGTCAGTCAGCTACAACGTAGGACCAGGCACATTTATGCATCGGTCCAAGTTGCCATACCTTATTAACACAACAAGATGGACACCGGATTCATAAAAGTAGTGAATTCAGAGGTGGCAATATATAAAAGAAAGATTACATACAAGGATATAGTACAGGAAGAAAGAATTAGTTAGTAGAAAGATATGAAGCGATTTTAATCTCTTAGTTTAAGGGAAGATAGAGAGTGTATACACCGACGTCATTGTGATCGATTCTCAACCATGTCACCAAGAGTCTCTAACCATTGGTTACGATAGTCACGCGGATCCCAACCAAGTAGTCTGCATCTACCCACATGGCTCAGACTACAAGTTAGTGACTTCAAGCACTGATGCCACGTTTTGGTTTGGCCGCCCCTAACTTTCTTCCAACCATCTCCAATACCGGATAGCACTGCACGTCGTGGTAATCGGTGTTCAGGCATACGTAACAGGTGGCCCAACCATCTCAGTCGATGAAGATTCATAACCTCATCAACTGATTTACCATCATTCCCTAATACCCTGCGTCTAACCTCACTATTACTCACCCGGTGATCCCAGCAGATGCCAGCAATATTTCTGAGGCATCTGTGGTCAAATACTAGTAGCTTACGGGTATCTTCTACTCTTAATGGCCATGTTTCTCTGCCGTAAATTAAAACAGAACGGACTGCCGCGCAGTATACTCGTCCTTTTATTGATAAACGGATATCTCGCCTTCGCCATAGGTGACGTAAGTTGGCAAAAGCCAAACGAGCTTTTCGAATCCGTGCTGAGATTTCGTCCGATACCAACCAATTGGGGCTGATCAGACTTCCAAGATAAGTGAAGTTGTCAACGCGTTCGACTACTTCACTCCCTATCCTTAATTCAGGTGTTGACGCAGACCAGTACTGAAGCGACAACTTGCATTTAGAGGAAGAGAAGCGCATTCCAAACATTCTGGCATTGTTGCTCAGTGCTACCGAAAGACTGCATTTTATCAGCGTCTTCACCAAACAGGACTATGTCATCGGAGTATTCTAAGTCGACTACCTCAGTCGATGGAGATTAACAACCTAATTAACTGACTGGCCACCTTTGCTAAACATTCAATGGCGCAAAACCTCAAAATTGCTTATTCAGTCGCTCCACGAAACGCCAAAAATGTTTCGAGGACATCTATGATCAGAAACCTTCAGCCTACGCATGCCTTCTAATTTCATAGATCATGTCTCATAGCCATAAAGTAAAACAGAGCGGACTGCTGTGCACCATACATACCAATTAGTTGGAAGACGGATGTCTAAATTACGCCGTAAGTGAGGTAAGTTGACAAACTCCAACTGAATTTTCTGAATCCGTGCCGAGACTTAAAAGTTAAAATAAAGAAATATGGCACAGATATTCCCATGTTATATGTATAAGTAGATGAACTCTAGCAATTAAATGACAGTATACAATCCAAAAGAATAAAAAGAATCATAATACAGAAAGTACACTTACCTAAAAAGCTAACAACTGCAACACTTTTAGTCATCAGTTCTTGAAATGACATATCATAAATTCGTGCATCCGGTTGTAAGTGATAAGCTAATACACGTCCGGGCTATAAACGGAACATAGGAGGAGTTGAAAGAAAAATATTTGACAAAGGATGAATACGTAGACAATACAATATGGAATTGTAAAAGCTTACTTTTTCAGCTACACCTTCTTGAATTTGTCTTCGACGAATTAAACATATTTTTCTGACATAATCGAGACTTCCAAGTTGCGCTTTAATAAGAGCATCTAAAAAATCAATAAGAAGACTACTGCTTATTTATTGAAATAAACAAATTAATGAAAATAACACAACAATTTTATTGATTAAATGATGCTACTGAGATTACCAAGCTGTTTATCTACAAGGCAAATTGAAGAACTTTAAAACTCATATCAAGAGAAAGACACTTTTCGTGGTGTTGTTTTCTCTGAGTTAGATAGTTGTAGAATTAACATTGTCGTATTTGACTGTTTCATCGCCTTTTCAAAACAGAGGGATTTTTTAAAAGTAAAAAGAACGAAAGTGTATGTTCCGAGTTTAAACCGTGTTGGTGAATACGGAAGTATCACTTAGAGAATTTGAAAAGTCATGATTTCAAACCTTTGGTGTAAGTGGATTGCAGAAATCTGCAGAAACGAATGGTATACGAACCCATTTTGATGAATAGCTATCATAAGTTTGCAGCTTCTGATGTCGCTCCACTTCACTGAAGCACTAATCAACTAGATTCCAATTAATAGACGTTTGTGTGATATTAGGTTAGGAGACTGTTACAAAGCGAGAGGCTGGAGTGGGAAACGATGTACTCTTGTGTGTGCTTAATAACCATCAGAAAAATGCGATTGTTGAAAGGAATTTACGTAATTTATGAGACAATTGTACGGTACCCGTCATACACTACAAACTATGGAAGAAAGGCTTTAGTTCGCGTTACGGATGCATTGATTGAGCCTTCCAACGCCGTCAAATGCTGTAAAACCTTCGGAATTAATGTTAAGCTCAGTTACATTCTCTATTCCTATTTTCGAACTTCACTCCCTTTCGTGTATCATTCTACACTACTTATCAATATTCAGTAACCCGTTTCATTTCTAATAACTTTCGAGGATATAATTTGACCTACATATGTTGTCAAATAATGTTCTTGAGTACTTACAGAAGCTGATGATATTCAATTTATATCTTTTATGGCAACCATATCTTCTGAATACTTGCGACAGGCAGTTTCAATTATAGCGTGTTCGTTGAAAGCTTGTTTTATTGTAACAGTTCGCATACTTTGGTGTCCTTCATCATCATTTTGACGTAATCTGTCATTGTAATTTCGACACTACTATAAACACTCCAATATTGCATGTTATTATAAACAACTCTATATATCTAACTTAAGAAACACTCTTTTTCGATGTACAGGGAAGCCTATCAACATGTTCAAGAACCTGTAATAAGAACAGCTCAGATAGTGACAAGATTTTGATAAATCCACATGTTAAGAAAGATAGTTATATAGGACTGCAATCTGTTGATCACCCACAATTCTCCTGTTGTAGTCCTATAGACAGTACAAATCAGCGGCTTAAAAAGTTATCAAATATGGCTCAGAATAGAAGGCAGTGGTGACCCTAGTGTAGTTTTTAATTACATTCTATCACAAATAGTAAGATAGTTCACCCCAAATGGAATTTAAAAATTTTCGTTTTAACCTTAAATAAACTATTTTCATACGTTTATTTCTCAATTGTAAATCTCTTCCATCTTCCGTATTGGACAATATAATCATTTAACTTGCGTAGAGTATGTTTTCAGTAATTTACCAAAACTGTAGTGTATTCATTTAAAAACAAGAAAGGTTGGTTCAACGGAAAGTTCTCTTTTTAGCAAATCCATTTTTGAAGATGTACAATCGCTGAACCAATTTTTCTTGCTTCTAAGCATTGATAGATGTACTTTATTTATTCAAAAACTAGACAACGTAAAACAAATATGTAGAGAAACCAAAAATAAATCTGTTTACCATCATCACCACCAGTGTCGTGACCCCGAAGTTTATCCATGAAACTATTTAGCTGACGAATGACAACGTCTATCTCTTCAGTGCTTTCAGACATGCGTAGTGCTTGGCAGAAATACTCACTCGTATAGGCACTCTCTGATGCCTATTTAGAAAAAAAAGAAAGCAAAGCATAAAATGTAGATATTATGGGATCAGACGTACAAAACTTGACAGATGAAACACGATTTTCTTACTAGTTAGGACAGCAAAAAGCCTTCCGATGGTCAAGTGACTAAAACTAAACCTGCACTTTATTATCTGTATAGTGAAAGCCGTTATAAACTTCATAGGCCTTTAGAGGTGTAGCAAAACGCTTTGTGAAAAGCAAAAATGGACAATCAAAACTTAACACACAAACGTGTAAGAAACCATATATTTCAATTATGTACATACAAGAAGTATAACGTTTAAAGTATGCTAACATATCGTAAATACCTTAAATATCATACTACAAAAATATTTTACCCGACAGTTTAATAATAGATAAGTTTATACATCCATTCGGTTTATGCTAGCACTGACCACAGCTCCGATGTTGAAAAAAAGCGAGTTTTATAGAAGGTCCAATAAGCTTCAAAAAGCTAAGCTCTCTGACAGATCAATCATAGAATGGATGGCAAGACTATAATTTATGGACGGACAAGTGAGATTTAGAATAACAGGTCTTGGATTTCAGCGCGAAATCCATTTAGCTCGAAAGCGTTTTGGCATTTAAGCTGATGTCAGTTCTGGATGAAAACCCTAAGTCTAGTTCTTAACCCTCACCATCAACTGTCAATCATAATCTTAATTCCCCACACTAGTCTATAACCCCCACTCAGCCCTATTAAATAAGTGAACGTCCTCAATGTGACTTTAGTGTCGTTCACCAATTATAGTTTCACTGAATAGGGTTTTCACGTCCAAGTAGAAAACGAAAACCGAGTTGAGCGACTATTGGGCGAGTTCATCAGTGAAGGCCCAAGAAATGGACAGAAGTGACTATGTGTTCCAACTATCGGATACAATACTCTCTACAAATCTGGAATGTTACTTCAGGATTGGCTCGCGTCATCGCCTAAACCAATGATAGGAAGTGTAGTTGAAAGCATCTGCCGCTTCACTTAGCTGCGAGGCGGCTCGGTTAGAAAGAGTACTAGATAAGTGCGGTAGATCGATCGACGAAGTAGTCGATTTTTATCAATTTATGTGGTTCGGATATGTGTTACGTATACCTAGCCACCGCCTATCTCGACGGGCGAAGTTCTCTGGTGCAAGGTTGCCTGCAAGAAGGCTAGGGGCGGTCAAGTCAAAACATTTCATCAGTCCGTGAAGTCACTGACAACTGGATTGAACTACGTTAATAGGTACAGACTACCTGGTTGGGGTTCACGTGATTGTCGTAACCAGTAGTTAGAGACCTTGAATGATATGGCTCGAAATCGTTTGCAATGGCTCAGGTGCATCCATTCTTCGTCTTTCCCAAATCCTGAGCTTTTAACTTCCTCATAACTCTTTGCTTTCATTTCATTAATTTATGTTTCCGTTTCGTGAATTCCTATTACCACTGATATTGTTACCACCTCTATTATTCTGAGATTTGGTCTGACTTCACTTCTCTGTGCTAATCGGGTATCGGAACCTGGACTGATGTGCATGCGTATAGGTTCTATGTTGTGGTTGAATAACCATACACAAAGGACCACTCAGTTCTAGAAAATGAAAATTGTAATCATAAGGAAGGATAATTTCCGATGACCCCCAACATCGACTCAACACAGACCTCGTCTTTAAGACTCGATTCACGACTACTGCTTCTCCAACGCACATGTTTTCACACTCCATCCTGAAGTGTAAACACGCGTTTGTCTGTGACTTGCCGGGCCCATAAAAGTCACAGAAGGAAGACCCTTTAAAACTAATTCTGAAAAAATGGTCAGAAGTACAGTTTACGAACAATAAACTAAGCACTTAGTCGACCGTGTGGGTTAAGTTTATTCTGAGAGGCTTGATGTAATATCCAAACAGTTGTAACAACAGCATTGTTATCTACTTGTGACTCAAACTAGAAGCTTAGGAAAGATCAATGGAGTTCGGGGGTTTCAAATAAATTGACAGATTCTCGAAATCTCATACTAACCGGCACCGAAACACGAGGATGAGAGACAGTTTGAATGCAGACTGACAAATATTTTAAGCAACGATACCCAGTAGTGGTGGGGAACGAAAGTCACATAGGCGAAAGGGTAATGGTAATACGTCACACTAAATTACTGTTCCAAATAGTCGAGAATACGTTTAGTGGAATTCAGCTACGAGCTAGACTATTTCGGAACCATAGTTCCCTCATTCCAGGAGGTTAGGTCGGTTAGCAGAACACTTAGTAACAGTTTAACCGGGTGCCAGCTATCCATAATCTTCAAGCAGTGTGGATGGGAAATTGGCACAAGTCCCATAACTGAGATCGAGGCCATTTCCCATTCGAAGTGAGGAAGAGTGGCAAAACTAGATAGGTTGGTTCTGGAAGTCCTTAAGGATGATTATACAGTCTTATATGTTAAGTTGACTGATATATCAGTTAGAGCGCGATCTATGAAATTGGGAGGTACGTGTAGGTTAGAGATTCATGATAGGTGGGGAAAAATACGATGGACAAATTTGTTTATTTTATTTGAATCAACCTAAGACTACATATATTTGGTATGAAGGAAATATTAACAGAGAAAATAAACAACATGAAGAAAGCAAACCACTAGTTACTAACAAAACGCATAGGAAAGTGTACTCACAAACCAAGCTATGGTTCTGTTAACGAAATCGGGATCCGATAACAAGTTGATCATTGGCATCAGGACAGAATTAACCAGCAACTCCTACAACATTAGAAAAGTAAGTACCTTACCCGGGTTATATATCGTATACCAGGCACACCATATTCCTCAGCAGGAGTAACAAAGAATAAAAAACATATCACTTAGCAAACGAAGATGGTCTATTGGAAAGTTAGAGAAATCCTTATACTAGCCTTTTTCTCGATCTTCAGAATTACAGATTTCTTCGTGACATACACTTTTCTCTGTCTCAGCCTCAACATCAAAAAATAATTTCGCATAATCTTCAGTTTTACTAGGTAATATGACAAATACCTCTGTCAGGATAGGCTGCCTTTCTGTCCAGCATATTTCGGTAGACACGAACATGGGCAGACATGAAAGAAGGAAGCGTTTCAGTAAAAAAAGGCACCCAATCCACGTCGGAAACTCTGATGAAATTACTAACTACAGAGGCGTTTACCTTCTAACCACATTCGCAACAACCCGTAAAAGGAGCTTATGGAGTTCCATTGGAAATGAATCGTCCGGTGTGAGAGAGTTGTACCAAGGAGTTATGTAGTCTCTGATAATGTAGCTTACAATCTGCGGTGATAGAAACATTTACAAAACTACCTGGTTAAGCACGTAGTCTAGGTCCTGATGAGGAGATACACGTATATTCGGTCTCGTGACACCCTCAGCATCCATGATAGCCGTCACCTTTGGAATTCCTTTGGAGAATAAAAGATCTCTCTTGCGGAAATGCACAACAGGCTGTTCATTCATTAAAAAGAAACTAGGAACAAGTTGTAAATATCAAAAAGAATGTGTAATACCCAGCAGCAAAGGAGAGAGTCGCAATGACGACATAAAATATAAATGTGAAGCCATGATGCAGTAGAAAACAGATAAATGTTATACCCAGAACAACATTGAACCTTAGCATAACTAAAACCGTAACGCCAGTAATCAAAACTCCGGGGAAATATCCAGTAAGAATCTAAGCAGTTTAATATTCAAATGAGTAAAAAAGATATGAACGTAATAACATAAGCTTTCGATTAACGGAATTCCGTATCTAGTAGTAATGATCTTCGTTGTCTCCTAATAGTAACTTGGGTATATATAATGAGCAAGAGGAAATATTGGTAAATTATGGCTAGATGCTGTCCTGAGCACTTTAGAAAATGTTACGTTTCCTCTTCAAGAACTCTTGGAAAATCGCTTACACCATTTTAGTCGGCAGAGAATTCCTGTATTTGACTACTAGTAAAGAGTAGATGTGTCTATGGTCTATCCTACATTGTTTCCTTTTAGCTTATCTGCGCCTGTGGAAGAGTAGTGTTTTCCTCTGACCAGCTACTTAGCATTATTCGTGCCAATGCAAAACTGACCAGGCTTCTAAGAGTCAGTCATTGAAAAGATTATTATGCTTTATGGGATCTAGGTAAATATGATCATCACACCTAACTAGTGCCCGTCATTACTCCTTAAGTCTATCATGCGTTGTAAATTCATTTCCTCATCCGTGATGTCAAGAGAGAGCCAGGTTTCAGTCGGAACTATGATCTTTATTTAGAATGAAAACGCGTCCCTCAACTTATCTACAGTACTCCTTCAACTGGTAGTAAAACGGAGAGATAATCTGAATGTGAGGGCTCCTTGTTAAGTTGGTTTGCGATCTCTAAGTTAGTGAGAACCTCGCCATTTCGCATTTAAGGGCTCGTATCACTCGGTTTGTGGGCCTTCTCCGGGTCATGAATCTACAGTGATATTTTAAGTAAGTTTGCATCTTGTCTGCTAGCAAGAACGGAAACAGTCTCACATCGGTCTCCAGCAAGTAGTGTTTGGTCAAAAACCAGGTGTGATAACTCTGGTATCTCAGTATCATCCTAAATTATTGGGTTTTAGGGCTTGTGAGTCGTTGGTGTGTTCCTAGAATAAAGAACATCTTTCGCTAACATTGGAGCAACATCAGCAGGATTCTTTCACCTTGGTTAGTTCAGTACTGTTTGGTTTTACAGCCTCAAAGTGGTTGTGAATATATGTCGCCACCCCACCTCCCGCGCTAAAAACATAATGTTCTGACTGTAGAAAATAGTATTTGTTGGACACAGGCTGATTTTCTGTGTCAAAATTGAATGATCCTCCGAATCAAACGTAGATCTAGACTTGAATACTTGCTCCTGTTACCCCACGTGAAGAAGCATAGGGCGCCCACCAGTACTCTACATGCAACCATGTTTTGGGCAATTCTTTCCAGTTGTGTTCAGTTGCCATTCAACCTTTTCATGTCTTCTGCGTAGTGTGTTCTTCGGCCTACCTCTTTTCTGTTTCCCATCAGGATACCAAGTAAGCGCTTGTCTCGTGATGCAGTTTGGTAATTTCCCCAATATTTGTCCTATCTACCTCCAACATCTTCATAATTTCCTCTTCAACTGGAGGATGGGTTGCTCTCTCTCTCACAGTAGGTTGGTGCTGATGGAATCTGATCAGCGGACACTGAGTATCTTGAGTAGACAGTTGTTTATAAATACTTGTACCTTCTTGATGATGGGTGTAGTAGTTCTCCACGTTTCAGTTCCGTACTGTAGAACTATTCTGACGTTCGTATTGTAGATTATGACTTTGATATTAGTGGACAGTTCTAAGTTCCATGTTATCTTTGACTGTAAGATCTAGAGCACTGTATAAATATAGTAAATGAGACAGTGGCCCACAAATGTTTTTCATCATATTATATCATAGGAAATATTGGAAGTTTGGCAACAATGGATTTCTCTAATCTAGCAATCATTATTCATGGGTGAAGAAGTTTACACATTTCCTTGAATTTGATTATTTTGTAGCATCGAAAGACGAGTGGAAATATCCGGATTTTCCCTTTCGAACTTTTGTAGACTTCATGTTTCTGGAAGTATATGTAACCTGAACTAGTGGCCCTTGTTTTTCAAGACAATTGAATTAAGTTCGACCTTTTGTGGAAATTTTAAATATACGTGACACGATATCCGGGTTAGAACAAACCCCACAATCGTTCCGAAGTTTGACCTTTTATATGTCGATCAGGCAAAAGGAATTGAGATTCATCGTTTACACTATCGTGACCCAAGATGTAGGCCGTTTCGTTCTCTATCGTCTTTTCCTGGCTCATATGGAAAGTTTAACGTTTTATACGACGACAATATCACTTGGTCGTGCTACGGACGTGTCAAGTGTAGCGCAGTCATCGACAAAGAAAGGACAGTTACAATTTAGCGAAAGTCATACTACCAATTAATTCTGTGATAGAAATTATTCCGAAATGTATGCAATCGCTTGACTAGATAAACGAAAACAACCGCAATTACTTATTATGATACACTTAAATGACTTAGGGTTTATCCAAAGTCTTCTATTCACTACTATGAATTATTGAATGCACTTGATGATACTCCCATAACGATTTTGACTTAAGGAAGGGATTGCATATCATGATGAACCAACGGAACTATATTTACTGTAACACTTGTTACTTTAGATACTAGCGTGTCAAAAAGGTCGGTTAAATTAAAAGCATAGCTGAAGTCCATGGGTGAAAGTATACCGCTGTCAATACAAGGTGATGATAGCATTAAAGCTTTTCTCAGATAAGCAACATCTATCTGGACAGCATTTTTACAGAGGAAAGTAGATGTTAGGAAATGTCAGTCCTAATTCACTCGCCTTATCCAACGATACCGATCACAAGCGAAGAGGTCTTTAGAATCTTATAATTAACTCGACAAAGACTTGTCACGAAAATGCAGCATGGCGAGCCTCAAATACTTGTTTATTCAGCTTGGAATCACGTTTTCAGGTGAAAAGACTACTACTTATTCATTTTCGTTTTCATATACCTCAAGAAATATCCCTATAGCATATAGGGAAACGAGGAATATCTACAACATATCAGGCTATCCAATTGACAAGCAAAGCTCATTTTAATCGCTGAATGGTAATTCGAATTAGACCACCTACACTTGTCTGATGTTTTCGAATTCTACGCTCCACCAAACCTAACGATCGAAGTTTACAAAACGATATCTTAGGTCTCCTGAATCATTACTAAAAAATGAATGTCAAAAAAATAGTGTTATTAGCTAAGACCTTAAAATCTCATTACATTGAAGATGACACAGTTATTCAGTGTTTGACAACGCTATTTATTTTGGGGATTTATTTACCGCTACAGATCACTCCTTCCCTAGTGGGTTAGTGATGACACTAAGACGTGGCCAGCCAGAAGTTTAAACCCAGCGAGTTTGTCGTTGGTAAACACTCTTCTGATAGCTTGCTAGAATTAACAGCGTTTGGTCGTCTTTCCTTACTATATAGGGCCGAGGTACAACACAGTAAAAAAGAAAATGTACAATGAAAATTTCAGTTCCTCATAAACGTCATGGTTCTTTTCCAGTCGTCCTGGAAAAGAAAAAAGAAAATGTAAGTGCATGTCGAAATACACTCATACGTGCGTAAAAACACAATGTCGGCGCGAAAAAAAGGAATATACACTAATTTACACGTAATATCGTTAAAAAAATTATGTTTTTTTTTAAATATATATCGTAAAAAGGAAGATTTAGATAATATTAAACGTCTAGTAGTGCCTTACGTGTAATAGTCGTTTAAATGCTTTGGAAATCTAACTGTTCTTCCAGAACGCGTCGTTTTAGGTATATTTTCAGATACATTCGGAGTATCATCGCTAGTGTTGGTTGTCGGTTGAGGAATTATGAGTGTAGGAGTCGTGTTGTGCGATTGTACCAAAGGAAAGTCGACGTGAATAGGATTTCCTTCTAAATACGCTGCTTTTAAGCGATCGATGCTGATGCTATCGTTGGTTCCGTTCTTATCGACTATATAGTACTTAGATTCACGTTGAAGAACTTTGAAGGGTCCTTCGTATGCTGATTCGAATGGTCGTCGATGCGAGTCTCGACGAACGAAAACGTGTGTACTATATCGTAAGTCAGGTTGAACGAAAACATCAGTTGATTGAGGTCGAGTGGAAGCAGGTTTAACTGAACGCATTGCGTTTGTAAGCCTGTTCGTGTAGGAGGTTAGATCCATGTTCATCGAAGAGCACGAAGGATCCACGAATTCTCCTGGAAGTCGAAGTGTCGTTCCATAAACGAGTTGAGCCGCAGTGTATCCAATGTCAGCTTTCACTGCATTGCGGATACCTAGTAAGACGAGTGGAAGAGCGTCGGTCCATTGTGAAACGTTTGCAGCTGATAGCGAAGCTTTCAGTTGTCGGTGAAAACGTTCTACCAACCCGTTTGCTTGTGGGTGGTAGGCGGTCGTTCGGAAGCGAGTGATTCCTAAAAGTGTGGTCAGACGACGGAAAAGATCAGATTCAAACTGACGTCCGCGGTCTGTAGTGATGGTTGAAGGGCAACCGAAGTTTGCTACCCATCGTTCGACGAATGTGCGGGCCACTGTTTCAGCAGTGATGTCCTTGATAGGTACTGCT